ACTGAGCAACACGAACCAAACCAAACAGGGGGATGAACACATAAATGTTGATTCAAATACTTAAAACTATTACTTACTTTTAGAATTTTGAACTTGGCAAATTACTGAAGTTTATTCAAGCAATTTTTTTTTCTGAATCTGTGTTTGCTCTACTTACATCTTGACTTCTTAGTCTGTTAGAAATACACATCTGCTGAAGAAAATTAAAGTCAATAATTCATTTCACGTTTCTATCATATTTTTATGAAAACTGAATATTTAGTACAGTGGAGTTTTCATGTTTGTATTTCCTTCCCTTTTATATATATAAAACTGAGGGGGTGGACAGCTTTTGAGGGAGGTGGGAGGGGGGCGGGAGGTGGGAGACAAAAAATAGGTGGGGGAGAAAAAAATATTCTAAAAGTGGGAGGTGAGAGATAGGGGCGGGAGGTGGGAGAAGGGTACCCCCTGTCCACCCCCTCATAACTATCTCAATCATCTATATAACAGTAACGGTGCCAATTTTCTGCACCAGATGCGCAGTTCGACAATAAATATCTCTTCAGTGATGCTCGAGTCTAAACTATTTGAAAATCAAAAACTTATTGAAAAAAAGAAGAGCTTATAAATGACAAAAAGTAAAACCAAAGCCGGCCAAGGAACCAAAGCCGGCCAAGGAACCAAAGCTTTACATGAGAGAGATACACTTAATTAAAATATTCCTTAATTTCAAAATAATTTTCACAAAATTTTGTAACAGAAACGTTTGTATGTTGTGTTAAATTTTATGCAAATTATAATTTGTGCAGATTCTTTGCACGAGTTTTAAGTATTTTGCGAACCTCTTATTTTGGTTTCACTTGTGTCATATGTGCATGACTACACAATACGGTCTCGCACATAACACCGATCCAAAGTTTTTATAAGAAATGATAACATATTTTGGGGACACAGAATCTGATATAAGTAAAACAAATGTAAATAGAATTTAACCCAATTTTGTCCTCATGTGTAGCTTTTATTCAATAGAACACAATTCTCAATGAAGATTGAAGTAAACAAATTTGAGAATAAAACACCAGGCTACTGGTTACTGATATATTGTACAAAAAAATGGTACAAATTATACGTTTTACATTTGTTTTAACTTCTACTTAATATGTATAGACTGTTGTTTGTCGTTCCGTTCTAGAAAATCAAGTGTGTTTCACCCCCTCCCGAAGCGAATGACGATAGATATGTGCTATTGAGTGAATAAAATAATTTTGCATTTTTAAAAATATTACGAAGGGCCATGAAAATTGAAAAAAAAAGTTAGATTATAGATTTAACAGCATTTAGCTTTTCACGGACTTTCCAAAATATTTTTCTGAAAATAAAATGGGAGGACAAACATATTACTTCTCCCACATGTATAGACACATTTGAAGGTACATGTATGCAATTTCTCAAACATATCATAATAACAAAAATTCTGTCTGTTTCTTTATTTTTCTAATTATTATCTTACATGTATGTTAAAAAATCGATACTATTGATTGGCTAGAAGCATTCACGAGGCATTTCAATATCAAATTATATTTCTCCATAAAATTCAACATTCATGACAGCGCGTGCTTCTCATGACAGCGTCACAACAATGCATAGAAAAACAAACGAAAAATTAGCTATAAATCGTAATTTGATGGTTGTATACGTAAACATTAACTAAAAGAATTAAATGCTGCTTTTTACAAAGGATGACCTTCAGGTCATTCCGATGTATTGCTATCGCCTAAATTTCCATTATGCAAATTAGTTTTGGGATTTCAACCGATCTATAAAAATTATAGATCCGCGGTCATTACAAGGGAAAAAAGTGCATTTTTATACCTGCGATTCCGTTTTCCGTTCGTACGATGTTTCATCAAAAAATGGAATCATTTCAGTTGTTGATTTAGTACTGAAAATTTTACTGAATTATCTCCTTTTAAATACGGTTTTATATGTTTAATTGGTGTTTAAGAAAGAGGTCAGGTGCTCATGTTCATTCATAAAATTATCGTTCATTCATTCATGAATTTATCGTAAAATCAAAATCACTACACAGGTCACACAGGTTGTATACGTAATGTCAAATGATTACTACCTGTAATCTAAAAATAAACAAACTTAACTGACACCCCTTACTATAGTGTGTGATAACATTTTGTGAGGAAATTCGATGTTTGCTATACCACTGTTCATTTCAACGCACTTTATGACGATACCACTTTATCAATATGAATGAAATTTTTTGCAGTGTTTTAAGAAATAATTTTACTTTAAAATCGCGTATCATTTGTGAACTATTAAATGTTTTACAAGGACGAATTTTCTGTATAAAGTCAATAATTGTGTGAACTTTTGAAGCCCAAACTTTTTATAGCCTTAAATACGCTAATGAAAGATCCGAAAACTATACCCATACAGAACGACATGTTTTTGAAATTGTAGCAAAACTTTTGGTTGACAAATTTTAATTCGTTATTGCATAAATATTAACTTGAAATATCTGTCATTTTCTCCCTAACAAGTTTACCCCTATTACTCATTATGATGTGGACTGGACATTGTTATTGAATCTTATGCAATTTGATTGGATTAAGTTATTATTAGATTACCTTCAAACTGTTCATGCTTTTTCGTACGAGTATATCGATTAAATCAGAGCGTGCATGAATGTGTACAGTAAATTAAATGACCTGCAAACTGGACACTGGACCAGTCCATATTACGTTTTATCAATGAATAGATTTTTTTTTTTGTATTTTCCAAATTACAGGGCCCATAAAGGGCATAAAATCAGATACAATTGATTTACATAATTGGTAACAACAACAATAATAGCGGTATATGAATGAAACTTAAGGTATGAAAGGTAACAATTGCCACTTTTTATCTTTTCACATAATTTTCCACATACACATTAGATAAATTATTTTTGATAGCCTATTGCGGAGAAAAAAGAGAAAGTTTACTGTATTAACGTTCTATTCCATTAAATACGCCATTTTTCGCAGAAAAACATTTTATGCACGGCTACGCCAGGTAAAATTGTTGTTTATCCTAACAAAAAAATACAATTTTCAGTTTCATTAGAATATTATAATAATAATAAATCCCAAATTTATGTAGTCATTAGATAAAGTCCTTATATGTCCGATCTGCCTATTTTTGGACATCAAAAGACAATACGATCGTTTTAAGGTCAATTTCGTCTACCTCACACAATCTTGTTAGGCACTATAATGAAATGGACCTGAAATTTATTTCACATGTTTCCTGAAAATTGATAAAAATCAAAGCAACATAGAGCTGTTTGTTCTAGTTCGTATAATGACAATTTAATGTCATGTTTGTTTGTGATGACCCCCCTTTTCGGGATTGCATCAGAATTATAGTTATCTCGTATCGCATGAGGATGACACATATCAACTGAGCAATTATGTTTGGGACTTAGTTTTAAGAAATGATGTCAAAGTAACATTATGAAAATATTTTTAGTAAGCTGAAATGTATATTTATTTTTTACATGTTTATATGTCTTGTAAGATATTTTATTTCTTGCCCGTTTTTCAACATTTGCGTCTGGAAAGTTGAAATGTTTTAACTGAATGGTTAAATTAAATTAATTATGAAAATTGTTAAAATTAAATCAATAAAGGAAATTATTGCCCAGTTACAAACACTACCAGGGGTCAATCCATATTGATTTTTTTTTTAGTTATATGTTTCAGCACATGTATAATTAACCCCAACTTTAGCCTTGTAAACTTGTTGTCTCCTTGTGAAATATAAAACATATTTAAAATGATTTCCTGCTAAAGTCTTTTATTGATATAAAGTTAAAACCGTCTTGCTTCTCACTAGTCAACACTCCTGTCCTGTCAGGTTTAATTCTTATATATATGGATGAAAAATAAAAGTCCACAAAGCATTAACATGGCAGCAATTGCTTTTACAGCCTTTAAGGCTTTGATTTTTTTTACAGAAGAGTGTCCACCATGCACTTGCACTGCACTATAATAATAGTAGAATAGAATGATATACAAATAGATGAAAATTATATATACATGCAACCGTAATATTAATATAATATATAACAAACCAGTGTATTCTCTGGAACTATTATTATATTAGTATAATAGTCTAAGGTATACTGATTTGTATCACTACAATATAATAGCTATTACGGTGAGGTTGAATTTCCTGTCATTTATTCATCATCCAAGCAGGAACTTGTATCAGAAAAAAAAATCTCTGTAAATTAACCTCAGTTTCAGGTATAGAGATGTGATCTGTTTCTGTGACATGTGCTTTTGACCATACACAAGAACCTGCGGTCATCCGATGTTCAGTACTTCAGTACTTTGATTGTAATTTTATAGTGTTGTTTTAAAAGCGTTGATCGTGCGCACATTTTAAATATGAATTCATACAAAATGTTCTTCGGTCAACGCTTTTACAATCCAATAAAATTATAAACATGTTTAATTCTTAAATATATATGCTATATTTAAATGAATCCGGTAAACATTGGACATGCATAAAAGCTGAGAGTTTAATTATAATATAACACTTAAAACTGATAAAATACGTTTATCTATTAAGTGTTTGTGTGTATGCGTGTTCAAATTGAGATATTTATTAATTCATAATAATGATTATCGGTTTATCGATTTGTCGTTCTTTAGAGGGTTTTTAAATTTTCAACATTATTGCCGTTAAATGTAAACGACCGAGTAAGAATGGTTATTGAAATTCGATCGACACTAATTGTCTAGCAATCATAGCTAGATAATTCTATCAAACATTTAAATAACTGGACCGAATTAAGGTACATAAATGGGGGGAACACTTATATCATCACTTTGATATTTCTACTAGCATTTCCCGCAAGATATATTGCACTGAAAATAAGATAAAATTAATTGTCTGAAATTATTTAAACCATTTCTTGTTGAGAAAAAACAAATAATAATTCATAAATGGTTGTATATTGAACGTGTAAACGTGCAGCGCCTCGTCCAATGGTATATGAATGTTTAAACGTTGTTTTTGACAACAAAGCGGAAGTAGTTTTTTTTTTTTGAGTTTAGGGCATCAACATGGTAAGTGTCAATTTACTTAAATCGGTAATTAGAAATTAGACAGTATATTAATTCATTAAATATCATATTTTCCCCAAAATAAGACAATTTGTTTGCAACTTGAGGAAATCGCTACATGTTTAATCTCATTCATTTCACATTTTTATTACACACATTCCGAGAGGTCAGATTTCTTGTGCATGATATTGCATTTCCTTAACACAATAGCATTTTGATCTTTTCTTCGAAAAATCAAGTGTCACAGCTTTACGGGTCGAAAAGACGATATCGAGATTATATGTTTACACAAAACATGTTTTCACAAAACATGTTTTACCCCGCCGCATTTTTGTGCCTGTCCCAAGTCAGGAACATCTGCGACTCTTTTCTCAAAAAATCTTACGATTAAAATTGATCATAAGTTATACTGAAATGTATATGACTTACGAGTATTTTTACTCTTAAGATTTTTGTGAAAAGATCAGCAGGCCTTTGTTAGTCTTGTATGTTTTTTTAATTTTGGATATGTTTCGAAGTATAGCGTGACGTCCATTCTCGCTGAACTAGTATACGTTATTGTTTAGGGGTCAGCTAAAGCCCGCTTTAGGATGCGGGATTTTCTCGCTGTGTTGAAGACCCATTGGTGGCCTTGGGCTTTTTCTGCTTTTTGGTCGTGTTGTTGTCTCTTTGACACATTTCCGGTTTCCATTTTTAATTTAATGTTGTTTGAAGTTAGATTGTTTTGACCTTGCTGTATCAATACAATTATCGACGCGTATAACACGTATCTCTCTCTCTCTTTCTTTATCTTCCTCTCCATCCCGTAAAAACATCATATATATTTCACAAAACCTCTGTTTATATTTCAATAATTTTATTGTATTGCAGGACATTGTCTTTAAAAAAACCAAAGAAAAACAAAACAATTATGAAACAGAGTTATGAATATCCTTTATTTTAATGACAAATTTCAGACATTCAGTTTGCGACGAATATATGTTATAGTTATTGAACAAGCAAATCGGTATATGTCATTTAATCTGCACGCCTCGGGTGACCCAACTTGACCTGAACGACGTGGGAGTTTGGGCTAAAGGGTCATCCCGACCGTGTATATTAAATGACATAACCGATATTGTATTACTAGTTGTCTGGAGGAGTGGGAAGAAATTGTAGTGCATTGAATTACAAATATACATTAATAATCCATTCCAAGAGACAAAGGAGTTACATATTATACTCTTCTATAGAGAAAAAAATAAACAGATAAATGTAAAGCTACTACCTCCATCCCAGCAATATTTAAGTGGGGACTCAGTATCTATACTGCATCGTTACACTGGCCGAAATTGACAGACGTATGACTCCCCCGTTTTATTTGATTTGGCAAATTCTACTAAATAATATCAATGAAAGTGCTTTAACTTATTTAACGATTTTTTTTTGTAAAGGGCTTATATTTAAAATGCTTTCTGCGAATGAAATTGATTATTTTTATTATTTTATGATGTATGTATTGTATATATATAGATCTATAATTGAAAATATCAATTTTCTCTGTAACTATGACATGTAGTTTTATGAGAATAAAGTTTATTCAACATAGATATCTTACATTATGTTTGTTTGATACTGGACTTCCTTTCGTCATATGTGTCGTTATGTTGCTATCTAATTGACAGTTACCCCACATATACCTTTAATCGTATTAATAGTCATATTCGTAGAAGTCAAAGGCGCAAATGATTAAGAGAGTCGTATACCGGGTCAAATTAGTGTTCACATGTTTGAATATTGTATATAGTCGTTATAAGCAATGGACAAAGGTTCGTCGTCTTCTATAAAATTTGGTGTTGGTTGCATATCTTTGGCAGTCTCTGTTCAATAATTCACAATTTCAAACGATTTTGGTTACACTTTCCATAATTGAAAATAAATATTTGGTTTTTTTTTCTTACATAAGAGCAAAGCATTCGATAGAGTTTGACATTAAGGTCTTAATCATAAATTATAAAAAGTAGGAATATCTGGTTCAATATTGAATTGGTTCCAAAACTGTTTATTTGAAAATGTCTACTGTGTGCATACACAGTAGTTGATTGTGGTTCCTCTGATATTTTTGTTCTTTATAAATTATATATCGACAACTTGTATATCAAAATTGAATTGTTTGCTGATGATACTTCTTTGTACTTTGTTGTAGATTATCGCATGGAAGCTGCTATCACCCGTTTTTCTCATCAATAATAATATTTTACTTTGAAATTCAGTTAATTAACATCCATTCCGCGCACACCTACACACACACACCTACACACACACGCAAATTTTCTAATGGTCAACATTAAATTTTCACATGCTTAATTTCTATTGCAGAGCAACCTTTCGGAGGAAACTATTGCAGGTAAAAGCAATTATTAATAAACATATAATTAACAAGACTATCTAATATAAAACTGGGATTTAATATTTGTTCAGTACTTATAGAAATGCAATCATATTGAAATGAAATGAAAAAAAGAATTAATGAATTAATTTTATAAATACAATACAATACATAAATCTTTGACAAATGAAATAGAATACATATTCGCTTGAAGTTTTACAAGGTAAATATTGTTTGTTATTGTTAAAAACTTATATTATAGAATTTAAAGAAGCTTTTGGTTTGTTTGACAAAGACAATAATGGCCAGATTACGAGTTCGGAACTTGGAACAGTAATGAGATCTTTAGGGCAAAATCCAACGAATGCTGACATTACAGATATGATAAATGAAGTAGATAGTGACGGTAAGGTTCTGAACAACAGTACTGTTCAATGTTCTATAGTCCCAAACAGGTATACTGTGTAATGTTCTATAGTCCCAAACAAGTAAACTGTGTAATGTTATATAGTCCGAAACAAATATACTGTTTAATGTTCTATAGTCCAAAACAAATATACTGTGTACTGTTCTATATTCCCAAACAAGCATACTGTGTAATGTTCTATTATAGTCCCAAACAAGCATACTGTGTAATGTTCTATAGTCCCAAACAAGCATACTGTTTCATGTTCTATAGTCCCAAACAAGCATACTGTGTAATGTTCTATAGTCCCAAACAAGCATACTGTTTCATGTTCTATAGTCCCAAACAAGTATACTGTGTAATGTTCTATAGTCCCAAACAAGCATACTGTTGCATGTTCCATTGTCCAAAACAAGTATACTGTGTAATGTTCTATAGTCCCAAACAAGCATACTGTTTCATGTTCTATAGTCCCAAACAAGAATACTGTGTAATGTTCTATAGTCCCAAACAAGCATACTGTGTATTGTTCTATAGTCCGAAACAAATATACTGTTTCATGTTCTATAGTCCAAAACAAATATACTGTTTAATGTTCTATAGTCCAAAACAAGAATACTGTGTAATGTTCTATAGTCCCAAACAAGCATACTGTGTATTGTTCTATAGTCCGAAACAAATATACTGTTTCATGTTCTATAGTCCAAAACAAATATACTGTTTAATGTTCTATAGTCCAAAACAAGAATACTGTGTAATGTTCTATAGTCCCAAACAAGCATACTGTGTAATGTTCTATAGTCCCAAACAAGCATACTGTGTAATGTTCTATAGTCCAAAACAAATATACTGTTTCATGTTCTATAGTCCGAAACAAATATACTGTTTCATGTTCTATAGTCCAAAACAAATATACTGTTTAATGTTCTATAGTCCAAAACAAGAATACTGTGTAATGTTCTATAGTCCCAAACAAGCAAACTGTGTAATGTTCTATAGTCCCAAACAAGCATACTGTGTAATGTTCTATAGTCCAAAACAAATATACTGTTTAATGTTCTATAGTCCCAAATAAGTATACAGTGTAATGTTATATAGTCCGAAACAAATATACTGTTTCATGTTCAATAGTCCAAAACAAGAATACTGTGTAATGTTCTAGTGAATCTAGTCCCAAACAAGTATAATGTATAATGCTCTATAGTCCAAAACAAGTAAACTGTGTAATGTTCTAGTCCCAAACATGTATAATGTTTAATGCTCTATAGTCCAAAACAAGCAAACTGTGTAATGTTCTATACTCCCAAACAAGTATGCTGTGAAATGTCCTTTAGTCCCAAACAAGTATACTGTGTAATGTCCTTTAGTCCCAAACAAGTAAACTGTGTAATGTTCTATATTCCCAAAAAAGCATACTGTGTAATGTTCTATAGTCCCAAACAAGCATACTGTTTCATGTTCTATAGTCCGAAACAAATATACTGTTTCATGTTCTATAGTCCAAAACAAATATACTGTTTAATGTTCTATAGTCCAAAACAAGAATACTGTGTAATGTTCTATAGTCCCAAACAAGCATACTGTGTATTGTTCTATAGTCCCAAACAAATATACTGTTTCATGTTCTATAGTCCGAAACAAATATACTGTTTCATGTTCTATAGTCCAAAACAAATATACTGTTTAATGTTCTATAGTCCAAAACAAGAATACTGTGTAATGTTCTATAGTCCCAAACAAGCATACTGTGTATTGTTCTATAGTCCGAAACAAATATACTGTTTCATGTTCTATAGTCCAAAACAAATATACTGTTTAATGTTCTATGGTCCAAAACAAGAATACTGTGTAATGTTCTATAGTCCCAAACAAGCATACTGTGTAATGTTCTATAGACCCAAACAATTATACTGTTTAATGTTTTATAGTCCCAAACAAGCATACTGTGTAATGTTATATAGTCCGAAACAAATATACTGTTTCATGTTCAATAGTCCAAAACAAGAATACTGTGTAATGTTCTAGTGAATCTAGTCCCAAACAAGTATAATGTATAATGCTCTATAGTCCAAAACAAGTAAACTGTGTAATGTTCTAGTCCCAAACAAGTATACTGTTTAATGCTCTATAGTCCAAAACAAGCAAACTGTGTAATGTTCTATACTCCCAAACAAGTATGCTGTGAAATGTCCTTTAGTCCCAAACAAGTATACTGTGAAATGTCCTTTAGTCCCAAACAAGTAAACTGTGTAATGTTCTATAGTCCGAAACAAATATACTGTTTCATGTTCTATAGTCCAAAACAAGAATACTGTGTAATGTTCTTTAGTACCAAACAAGTATGCTGTGAAATGTCCTTTAGTCCCAAACAAGTATGCTGTGAAATGTCCTTTAGTCCCAAACAAATATACTGTGTAATGTTCTATAGACCCAAACAAGCATACTGTGTAATGTTCTATAGTCCCAAACAAGTATACTGTGTACTGTTCTATAGTCCTAAACATATATACAGACCAGTTTTTGGTATGATACGGTTTATGTTATTCTCGTGTATTTTATGATGGTATGATTCTAAACCCCTAACGGGAGGGATTGTGCTTGATTTTCATATGATGAAGACATAATCTTTCAATCAGTTTAATTGAGGTCTGGAGCTGGCATGTCAGTAACTGCTAGTAGTCTTTTGTTAATTTATGTTTATCATTGTCATTTTGCTTAGTTTTTCTGTTACCTCTTCTAACATCGGACTCGGACTTCTTTTTAACTGAATTTTACTGTGCGTTTTGCTGTGGATTTATTTATTCTACATTGGCTAGAGGTATAGGGGGAGGGTTGAGATCTCACTAAACATGTTTAACCCCGCCGCATTTTTGCGCCGGTCCCAATTCAGGAACCTCTGGCCTTTGTTAGTCCTGTATGTTTTTTTTAAATTTTGGTTCATTTATGTTTTTGGAGTTTAGTGTGACGTCCATTTTCTCTGAACTATAGTACACATTTTTGTTAAGGGGCCAACTGAAACCCGCCTCCGGCAGTGGGATTTTCTCGCTGTGTTGAAGACCCATTGGTGGCCTTGGGCTGTTTTCTGCTCTTTGGTCGGGTTGTTGTCTCTTTGACACATTACCGGTTTCTATTCTCAATTTTATACTGTTTAATGTGTCATAGTCCAAATGAAGTGTACTGTTTAATGTTCTATAGTCCCAAACAGGTATATACATGTATTAATGTTCTTTTGTTCCAAACTAGTATACTGTGTAATGTTCTGATGTCACAAACAAGTATACGGTAGCTGTTGAATGTTCTATAGTCTCAAATAAGTATACAGTAACTGCTGAATGTTCTTTAATCCCAAACCAGTTAACTGTTTAATTTACGTATACTGTGTTTAATGTTCCTCAGTCCCAAGCTAGTATAAAAGTATTATTGCATGAATATTTGTGAATACTATCCATATTGCAATATAAAAATAACACGGAACAATTTTCACCAATATCGCTATTTTTTGTTACTTTTTGTTGACTTTATCAAATTTAAAGTTAATAACAAAAAAAAGAAAAGGATATTTTCCCGAGGCCCGCCTAAAAATAACCTTTCAAGATTTAATGATTAAATAATATCAACTTTTAATGAAGATCATACTGAACTAAATATGGGATTTTGTTTCTTTTGTTGCATTTTTTGTGTTTTAAGAGTCTTTTTATGGTTATATATTTTCTATGTCTAGATCAGACCTGCAACCGAATCTTCCGGCTACTGCAGTTTTTACCAGACGACAGCTTCTTATTATTTCGACTTTCACTAGCGCTCCAAATTTAAAAGGGGTATTTTCACTACGTGCAATTTTCCAAACATTTTTTTTAATTCAATAATGAAAGTGTTAATATATTAATATTTTATCTTTGGCAATAGTTGTTAAAATAGTAAAATTATGAATTGCCAAAGATAAAATTTTAATATAACAAAAGTATAATAATAAATTATATGGACGTTATACAGGTACCAAACAAATCCATAACCACGAACATAGTATACAATAATATTACAAAAGTACAAATATATTGCATGTTAACTCCAATGACAACAAATAGACAATGTGCTATGCAAATTATACTGGTACAGAAATAATGCATTTCCACGATAATAAACAGACATTGTGTAAATAACTACAGCTACCAACAATAATCAATTATGCATAAAACCAATAATGATAAATCGGTACAGTGTTATCTAGATAACACGTCTTATAATGATAAATCGATAATGTGTTAACCAGATAACACAAATAATGATAAATCGATTTCGTGTTATCCAGATACCACCACAATAATAATAAATTTATAATACTGCATTTGAACAAGCGTGAAAATAATCATAGCTACGATAAATTGAATAAAATCGATACTGTGTTATACAGGTAGTGGAACAATTAATTTTACCGAGTTTACAAATATGATGGGGAAAAAGATGGAAAACAGTAATCCAGTAGAAGATCTCAGAGAAGCATTCAAAATTTTTGACAAAAACAATGATGGTAAAATAGATACTAATGAACTTAAAAAGGTGATGGTCAATATTGGTGAAAAATTGACTGATGAAGAAGCTAATGAGATGATTAAAGAGGCAGATGTCGACGGAGATGGAAAGGTTAATTACGAAGGTTTGTATAAGAATTGTAACTTATAGATATTTGGTGCGTTATGCCTAAAATCAATTTAAAAGTGTCTATTAATTGGAAAAATCCATCCAGACTAATTGTCGATGAATGTGTCAAAATGATCAATAAAAATAATATTAATCTGAAAACTTATCGATACAAATAAAGGTGTATAAATGTATGCTATGTTACCTGGTTTCCTGTATCTGGTAATATACGTTAACAGTAACATTGACATCGCTCTGTATGCCACATTAGATTCTAGCTCTCAATCATGTCTAAACAATGCTAAAATACAATATTAAACAGAGTATGGCACGATTGCTAATGAGAGAACTATCCACTTTAGACCAAACGGTGTAGATGTTAGCAACTTTAGGTCACCGTAAGGTCTTCAACAATGAGAAAAATACATACCGTGTAGACCGTATATAAAGCACCGACATGAAAATTGTGAAACAGTTCAAACAAAACAAATAACGGCCGAAGTTATTTGACAATCATAGCAAATTTCTTATTTCTATACTGACTTATCAGATCGATACAAGGCAAAGTTTAACAAACCATTACTTTTAAAGATGCTTAATAGAATAAAAATGAAAATGTGGGCTATGATTTGTTTTTATTTGATTTTAGATTTTGTATATCGTTTTATAATGCTTATTAAAAAACATTTTGATAACACCATATACCTTCTTAACTACATTTCCTATATGATTAATAGTAGACATGGGGTAATCATTAACAAGACAGCAACCCAACGACAAATATAATCAAGGGACATCTAGTATATTACGGTTGGTTATCTCAACTACATCCAAACAAGATCAGAATAAAAAAGTATAAAATTTTACCACATAATTTATAAGAAAGTCTTGTGAAGGCAAACTGTTATCAAACTATTGACAACTAATGCCTTAGGCTAAATGGCCTAGATTATGCCTAATAATGGTAAATTCTCAGAGCACAACCGTTATTGAACGTTAAAAAATGAGAAGAAAAAATCAAACAATCTAAAAAAATCTTGCTGCAAAGTGACAGTTACTACTTAAAATTAACTATCATTTTATAATATTGTGATTTTATTTTCAGAGTTTGTAAAAATGATGACAAGTAAAACAGTTGTGTGAACAGACAATGATATGACATACATTTTCACTTTTTGCTGCTACAAGTAAAAAGTTTTCTGTAGTTGTATTTACAAAATGCTGAAAGATTCTAAGTGGAAAACCAAGAAAACAGTTCATAAGATAGCATAAAATAAATTGATAATATTACATTATAACCCCTAGCTTTGATTTACATAAAATATGTCACAATACAATGTTTTTGTAGGAGCATAGGTGTCGTACTTTTATTTGCAAATAATTGTTTGGAATATAAATAAATATATATATATATATAAGAGCAGCCTAACACAAAACGGGAAACATATCACAGTATTAAAAAGGAGACAAAAAAAAAACAAAAAAAACACCAAGAGCACCCGAAACTCAATCAACAAACCGAGAAAGAAAAAAAATCAGGCAAAGGAAACATAAACTGCTGACAAAGAGATTTGTCTCGCCTGTATGTAATTTAGATATAAAATCGCAAACGTTGAAAGTAAAACAGCAAAACTTTAACATGTATATTATGCAAAATGTTGAAGAGTCGGTAAACCCTGACTGAAGGTAAAGGGCCAAATGATTTCCATTGAAATAGAATATGCTAATGTTAATACAACTGCATACCAAATATCACTTAGTTATCTTAAGTGGTTCAAACTGAACGTATAACAAACCTTAACAAATTGTTGACGCCACAGCGGTCGCCGAACAGAAAACCTAAGTCTCGCTTTTTCACTTCATCAAGGCGAGACAAAAATTATTCAAATAAAGTAAAATTAAGAAGAAAAAAAAAATGCAACAAAACACAGATAAAATAAAAAAGAAATACAAAAAAGTAGAATAAGATGGAAAACACGCTTTGCATTTCAATGTGACATCCTTGTATCTGCAGCAACAACAAAAAATATCACCACCAGTTATTATAACTCATGTTATAAATACATTGGAGAGACTAGTTAGTTATTTTAGCTTTAGTTACTTAATCAAGCAATATTATCTACAAATTGGTGCTATTTCTGTATCTGTACCATCTTTGATTAAAATGTATACTTGAAATATAATTTATTAGCACACCTCAAGCAATGTGAAAGTAAATTGTACTAAAATTGGCAAGATTGTAAATGACATATTTTGTTTGAAAATTTCCAGTTTATAATTTTGGGGTTGCTTTTCGTCTATAACAATGTAATTATAGATGCTTTCGAAAACGCCTGGCCTATATATACAGCTTAGAATGGATTTCATAACAGCGTGGACATAGACACATAGTAATTAAATGTTATCGTGTGCACAACTGACTGTCGACAACAAAAACTTCACGCAATTACAGTATGTCAGGGGCCTCTCAATGGGGATATAAAAGTTTTTGCATGAAAGTTTATAGGAATTCGTTTTGAATATATTTATATACTCAAAAAAAAAAGTTTCTTTGGACAGAATGAATATATTCAGAGGTGATATCACCAATCACCAAGTAATCGAGAAAAAAAACGTTATGTTTTTTTCTTGCACAAACGTTCTGTGGCTCCTTAAAAATATAAGAAAACATTTATATCGAACGAGTTGATATAGAGTAACCTATGATCAGATTTCATACAAAGATTATTTTTGTTGGTAATACGAACCCCGGACCTTCATAAAAAATCAGTTTAGTCCTCTGGGCTGCATAATGTTTTGCACGGAACAAATTTGAATTCCCATCGAAGACTCCAACGATCAGATTTTCGTGAACATTTAAATATCATTCTAACAAAAAATAACTCGTGAAAATATCAAGAAGCATATGAATCCGGTCTTATGTGCAAAATTTACGTTGATTGGAGTCAGAGTAGCTTTTGTGGAAACATTGATATTTATTTTAGATTTTTTTTTATACCTGAACACGTAAAAAAAAAATTACGGGATCTATATTCTTTTGCTTCAAATTAAGCAGGTAATTTCAATGAATTTGATCATTACGTAATGTTAAAATCATATAAAGAATAGGCAAATCATCATTACAAAATAACAAAACCACATCATGTAATGAAACAACTACATAACGTTAAGTCACATTCACATCAAGAATTGTTAAACCACATTGATTAAAGACACAACCACATTAAATAGTGGTGAAACCACATCGAGTAATGACAAAACCATATTGAGTAATGACAAAACTATATCAAGTCAATACGAAACCATATCGTGTAATATCGAAATATCATTAAGTAATGACTATTCCATATTGAGTTATATCAAAACATCATTACGTAATGTCAAAACCATATTAAGTAAAGACAAAATATCATCAAGTAATAATAAAACAACATAAAGTAATATCAGTTTTCCACATAAGACAGCTGTGGCGTTCCATACATGCATTGTGCGTGTTGAGTTATTTAAAGGAAAAGAATGTCAACATTGAAAGTGAAACAAAGGTAAATCATTTGATTAAAATTGAGAATGGAAATGGGGAATGTGTCAAAGAGACAACAACCCGACCACAGAACAGACAACAGCAGAAGGCCACCAACAGGTCTTCAATGCAGCGAGAAATTCCCGCACCCGGAGGCGTCCTTCAGCTGGCCCCTAAACAAATATATATACTAGTTCAGTGATAATGAACGCCATACTAAACTTAATTGACTGATTCGATTCACAAAATATCATTCTTATACAGGTAAAAACGATGATTAACATATATATTTTTAATCTATAATATGAAATTAAACAGACCTAGAAAAATCCAAATGCACGAGTTCGTTTCTATTTATATCTATATTTATGTTTATATTGCTTTTATGGCCATCGGAGGTCAACTCGATAGTTAATTAGATAGCGTCTAGACTAAAATACACACGAAACAAAGTTACATATTCTCGAGCCCATGCCCTGTAAATTGTTTGTTTTAGACTTTTCATAATGTGGATAAATGTTTTACATTGTTATAAATGAAATATGAGAATTTTAGTCAAATCGGTGAACATGAATTTGACAGCTAGTGCCCCTTTAATCAGGAATGGTCGCTCCCTTACAATTTGAAATTGTACTCACTTCTTTTTCGGTTTCTGTGTTTCAATATATATCCATGAATTTAATGATATGTTCACAATACATCTGTTTTTGAATAATAAATCATGTGCAGTGTAATAATAACCTTTAAACTGGGTGAACTCGTTTAATTATTCTAGAATAAAAGGTATTGTAAACATATTTAATTCATGGATAAATACTGAAACACAAATTAAAAAAAGTTAAGTACAGTTCTAAATTAAATCGCTGTGATCCGTCCATTCGTTTTTCAAATCAACAGAACAGCTGCATTCAACAGGTAGGACACATTTCCTTATACGGATTACTTGGTGATATCACCTATGCATATACTCATTCTTTCAAAAGAAACTTTTTGCTGTGAGTATACATATATTAAAAAGAAATTCCTATAAACTTTCATGCAAAAAAAATAATTCTATGAAAGGACATGTGTAAAATAGTAATAATGTATATCCCCATTGAGAGGCCCCTGACATACTGCAATTGCGTGAAGTCTTTGTTGTCGACGGCCAGTGACCGACACGATATTATATAAATAACACATAGCTGAGAGGGTGATAGAGCAGATTGTTACCCCGAAAAAACATTGTCAACTGAGGCGAAGCCAAGTTTGACAATGTCTTTTCGAGGGGTAACAATCTGCTCTATCACCCTCTCAGATATGTGTTATTTAATTTATTATACTGAATGTTCTGTTATAACTGTCGATTAAATTTCAAATTCAAAGTAATAAACTATGACGTCTTGTACATAACAACCATCCGTATGTAATAAAGCGCACACTTGATCAAGCGTCTCCGTGAAGGGTAATAGAGTATTTGCCATAGGATAGAGTCGGATTTAATAAAGCGCACACTTGATCAAGCGTCTCCGTGAAGGGTAATAGAGTATTTACCATAGAATAGAGTAAATTGTCTCACTCGTATTAACCAATTAAAATCTGGAATTTTGACATGAAGTATAAATACATTTAAATATCAGGTGTCCATGTCCACACTGTTATATTCTATATGGTGCAGCTTATTCTGGGAAAAAACGGTGGTGAGCACAGATGTCGGAATCATACCAATCTAATTAAATTAAATCTCCGCACTTGCTCCTCGTTGTTTATATGTCGCGCGTGGGAGATCTAACTACAGCCGCTTGAGGGTCATGTCTAGGGTCAAATTTGCAGTAGCCAATCAGCGAAGGTGCTACAAACTGTTAGGGTATTGGACTGGCATAGGAGTCTTAGTAGCGTCTAGAGGTCTTCCGAATGTATATAAACAAAAATGGCAGCCCCATGCGAAAAAAGTTTCGTAACATACAACTGTAATAATAGTTTGTATTATTGCCTTCCGAGGTTAAAATGGCATCAAGTGAAGTATGCACCCAAAGGAAAATATCAGGAAGAACAAACATTTGTGTTTTATGCGGTTTTTCTTTCATCCAGATAGAAATCTCAACGGGAGAACGTGTTGAAAAAAAAACTGTTCAAACTGAAACTTCAGCAGAACTCAGAGAATCGCAATAATTTCTAGTGTTGTTACTGGTTTTGAAGTAAACGCCGAAGTAGACAAGGACAATGGCGTCTGTATTAAATGTTTTAGAAAAGTCCAACAGTCAATCAAATTAAAAAAAGATGCATTAAAAATGCAAGAAGAACTAAGTGACTAACTTCGGGTGTCTTACCACCTGACCAATCAGAAAGATTAATTGTTAATAGATTTGTAAATCTGCAAGGTGGAACAAACAATAATATAAGCTTAGATGAATACTTAGAGATGTTGAACAAGGATACAAAAGTAACATGTTCAGGACATCAGACAAAGGAAAGTATCCTTCAACACTCTAAAGAGTATCCTCACCTAGTTAATTTTGCAAGCCATTTTGATAACATTACCAATTTAACAGGAAAGAAGGGGTTCCCCCATATACCGTCATACCAAGCTGATGTTCAGAAAATTGCAAAAGACCTACTACACTACAAGAACATGTACTAACATATAAAACTTCAAGAATAATTAAGTGCAAGGAGCTAAAAAAAGACAAAAACCCATTTGACAGTGCATTTATAGGACTTCGTACATTGATTCATTGACATCAACCAACAGTCCCCTTCCATCACCTTCGAAACCCACGTATTTGAAAAATATTGCTTGGAAATAAATTATTGTGAATAAAGTGTGCAGGTTTAATTTTCTCTTAAGTCATAACCTTAATTAGCTGGTACTTTTTTTAGTAGTTTGTTGCTGATATTAAAAAAAATGTGTGTCATAAGTCAATGAGACATCAACCCAACAACAAAGTAATGAAATACTTTCAGTTTAGTGGCAGAATATCATGGTCATTTTGATTAGGCAGCATAACTACCTACAAAAACATGTTTATAAAAATGTGGCATGATTTCTAACGAGACAACTATTCAAAAGGGACCAACCTATTTTTCTGTTCACAGTTCCACCTCTGACTTTGAGTAAAACCTATAGCAAGCTATAAAAAGGCCGGAAATAACTTTATGAAAACATCAAGCATGTTTGTACAAAACAACAATGAGATAAAAACCAAACTTTTACAGATTTGTTCACAAGGCGACCAGCATGCGGATATTTACCCTATATGTACATGTAAAGAGCTGTTGATAAAACTTATACAAGGTGGTGTTGGTTAAATGTGCTTTCCTGACTGATGGAGTTATTAGTGCACATTATTTGGTTCAATTTCTATCTAAGTCAAATTAAACACAGTAACTTAATATAATAAAATGCTCCGCTGGGCGCAGCTTGATACGACCGCAGAGGTCGAACCCTGAACAGTTGGGGCAAGTATGGACACAACATTCAAGCTTGATACAGCACTGAATTTGGATTGTGATTAAATATTTGACACTGCATAGGTTTCTGACACAGAATGAATGTGGTCTAAGAACTTATAAATTTTAAATTTACCTATTCAAACCATATCATTATTATTTGGTTTTATATATAAATCAGAAATAACAAATTTAAAATGGAAAATTTTAAAGAAAAAAAGGGAAAAAAAATCCCTCCCACCCAAATTTTGAACCCCCTTATGATTCATCACCCCCAAACTCAATCCCAGCCTTCCCTTTGTGGTATGGTACCTTGCTGTACAAATTCTGAGAGATCCATACACTTGAACACAAGTTATTGACTGGAAACTAGAAAAATGCTTGTTTTTTGGCCCCTTTTTGGTTTAAAATTTCTAAACATTTAGGGAAATTACCCCCAAACTCAAACCCAGCTTTCCCTTTGTGATATGGAACCTTGTAGTACAATTTCAGAAAGATCCATACACTTACACACAAGTTATTGCCATGAAACTGAGAAATGCTTGTTTTTTGCCCCTTTTTTTACCCCTAATTACTAAAATTTTGAGGCAATTACCCCCAAAATCAATCCCAGCCTTCCCTTTGTGATATGGAACCTTGTGGTACAATGTCAGAGAGATCCATACACTTACACACAAGTAATGTCTGGAAGTTACAAAAATGCTTATTTTTGGCCCCTAATTCCTGAACTGTTGGTACCATAACCCCCAAAATCAATCCCCACCTGCCTTTTGTGGTATTGAACCTTATGGTAAAATTTCATGGAGATCCATTCACTCAAACTAAAGTTAGAGTGCGAAAACCAATGTGTCTTCGGAGGACGACGACAACGCCAACGTCATACCAATATACGACCGCAAATTTTTTTTGTGGTCGTATAAAAAAGAAGATGTGGTATTAAGTCTATATTTGACGGTTTTCTTGATGAACACATTGGTCTTGAACAAAGTTGTAAGTAAGATATAGTCCCACTGCTTGTTATTGTCTTGAATATGCATGAAATATTTGCCACTGAAACCCAAGTGAAGAAATCAATAATCAATCAACCTGTCAATGTTTATTTTGAGCAAAATAATCATCCTCTGTATACTGTTGGCTACACCAAGTTAAATACAATGAGTTTGCTATATAGAACAAATATAACATCAAGAACAATGAACAAAAAGGTCAAAGTCATACATGTCATATGAACCATGCCAAAATTTAGCACAAAAGGACATACATCAATAGCAATAATTCTGTACAGTAATACACCAAAGATAGTTGACTTGTTGATCAATAAACCATGAAAAGTCAAGGTCAGAAACCAACCAGACTGATTTTTATAGTTCGTTCCTGTGTTGTACTGTTACACCACTGTCCCAGGTAAGGATCCTGCTAACATGTTAAACCCCGCCACATTCTGTATGTATGTGCACGTGCCTGTCCTAAGTCAGGAGCCTGTAATTCAGTGGTTGTCGTTTGTTTATGTGTTACATATTTGTTTTTCGTTCATTTTTTGTACATAAATTAGGCCGTTAGTTTTCTTGCTTGAATTGTTTTACAATTGTCATTTCAGGGCCTTTTAGAGCCGACTATGCGGTATCGGCTTTGCTCATTGTTGAAGGCCGTACAGTGACCTATAGTTGTTAATTTCTGTTTCATTTGGTCTCTTGTGGAGAGTTGTCTCATCATGCTCATTGGCTATCATACCACATCTTCTTTTTTATATAGCATGTACATCTTACAATAATTCCACTCCAAATATATTTTTCTGTTTGTTTATCATGTTTATAGTAATCGAGATGCAGACTTGACCCCGAATATATGCTTGTTTCATGAAATGAGGTCAAAATTAGGCGAATCTGCAACCATATCTGACAGACATGGTTTTCTCTTTTGAATTTTTTTCATATTTTTCTGGTCGGGGCCTTTTGTAGCCGACTAAAGGCATGGGTTTTTCTCGTTGTACTACAATTGCTTATATCAAGTTATTGAAAAGTCTGGAGGGTAGTTGTCTGATTGGCAATCATACCGCATCTCTTTATTTTTAAGATGAAAAATAGTAAATATCTTATGATGTGTGTCATTCAGTTACTGTCTCATTTGTTTTCATACGCTACATCTCTTTTTAGTCACATTGACAGCTGCAGGCATGACATGACCCAGATCTAGAGTGGCAATACAGCAATTGTAAGGGGGTTAAAAGTCAAAAAAATTTGAAGAGTCTTAAGTTGAATAAGTTACAGCAACCAGATACTGAAAAATTAAATAAATAAATATCAACTGTTTTAATCATCTTGTACTTCTAATAAAGCCATATCAAGATCTTCGAAGTATTCATAGGCAGACAAATTGTAGTCTTCAGTATTTCTATCTGATACAGCAGAATCTTCTTGCTCCTCAACAACTTGTTCTGACAGAAATAACTTCTCAAGAGGTAACATATCACAGGATTCACAATTACAAGACTTAGCACACAAGTCACAGCATGAATGTTTCCTGCTTTCTTTCTTCATCAAATCATCCAAGTCTGAATTTCTGAGGAAATTACACATCAGATCCTTTCTCCTACAATCTTTAGCTTTAAGAATTGCCTTAACTTCCGGTTTCAACTTCTGCAAGTGGTATCCATTGTATAGGATAATGGCAACTGATGGATTTCCATCACTCCCCACTCGCCCTATTTCTTGCAGCAAATCTACCAGATTATTTTGAGGTCCAAATAATACCACTCCACTACACAAACCCATTCCCAGGGCACTGGTTGACAAAATAAGTCTCAAAACACTACTTTCCTCCTTCAATGCATTAATTATAATGTTTTTGTTAACATCTGGAGTTTCAGAATGGAACATCTCAATATACTTGGCACAATGTGGCAAATCTGTTACAATGTATTTATAAGGTTTGGAAGTGTCATTTATCGATGAATAATACAAAAGTGTACGTGGGAAGTCCTGTCTTTTTTCCTCTTATGCATCTACTGACCATGTCATTCCCATTTCAATTTCATTTTTAATTTTGGAAGATACTAGTTTAATATTAGACTTGTTTGGTGATAAATTAATTTCTGTTGTGTCCTCCCCTAGCTGTAATATTTTCATGAGTTTTTTCCTAAAGCTTACATTGCAAGTTGCACTTAAAGCCAATACTGTAGCATCGGGAAAGAGGGATCTTAGTTCACCTACATTTGAAAACCATTTTCGGAAAGCCTCTTTTCTGTCTCCTTCATCTTGGCCCCTGAAAGAAAAATAGAAATAAGTACATCTATAAAAACTTTTATAAAAGGTAAATATCAGCACCTCTTGCCTAGTTTGTTAATTCTTATGGCAAAACAAAAATAAATACATGTATGTGCATGTCCATATTGTTATGTAACAGCCTATCATTCAGTGGTTGTTGTTGGTTGCTGTCTAGCACATTTGTTTATGGTGTTATTTTTCATACATTCTTATAATTACATTGTAATGGTTCAACATTTTGCAAGTAGTGGTCTTAAAAGAGCTTACTTTTTAGTATTAGGTTATCTCGTTCTTGAAAGCTGTACAGTTCTGTACCAGTGGTCTTAATTTTTTACTTCTATATTTTTGAAAATCTAAAATTCATAAAAATGGGAAGGGAGTACACATCAATATATAGAAACAATTCATCAAAGTTTCATGCAAATTCGTTGAATAGTTTTTGAGTTACTGTCTGACATGTTGACGATTGACAGACAGTCACAGGTTAGGGGAGGGTTGGGATCCCGCTAACATGTTTAACCCTGCCACATTCTGTATAGTGCCTGTCCCAAGTCAGGAGCCTGTAATTCAGTAGTTGTCATTTGTTTATGTGTTACATATTTGTTTTTCATTCATTTTTTGTGCATAAATAAGGCCGTTTGTTTTCTCGTTTGAATTGTTTTACATTGTCATTTTGGGGCCTTTGATAGCTGACTGTGCGGTATGGGCTTTGCTCATTGTTGAAGGCCGTACGGTGACCTATTATAGTTATTTATTTCTGTGTCATTTGGTCTCTTGTGGAGAGTTGTCTCATTGGCAATCCTACCACTATTCTTTTTTATATAGACAACGGTATACCATAATACGTCCTGTAGATGTGCGAATAGAAATGAACATGGGGAATAAACATTGTATCCACTTACCAAATTGCTATTGTGTGAAACTCATCAATTACAATCAACTTAATGTTCAACTTCTTTAAACAAGTTCTCCAATAGGGATCACCAACCAATGTTTCTGGAGATGCAAAAATGACATCTATCAACCCCTCTTTGATTCGATCGTCACTCTGGGGGGGATGATCCTAAAATGCAAAAAAAAATGTAGGTGGGCAGTCTCCAAAAAGACATATTTCTATGATAACTTCTATAATTTAAATGTACACAAAAATGTACACTGTACAAATACCCTTTATCCATTTCACTGCGTTTGATTCAAGATTGAAATCCAATGAAATAATTCTTATTGTTGTAAAGTCCAATACAGAAATGAATCTAGCTGAGATTTCAATGAATGCATGGCATATTTTCTCGATTTTGAGATGTTTCTGCCAATTTACCTGTTTGGCCATCCAACAAGGTCATTTAGACTGCACTTTTTCATATTTTTCTTTTATTTTTTCATTGTTTAACACAGATAACAATCTAATTTAAAAATTAAGTTTCCCGCACGTTTCTGGGCCATGTAAAGCTGACTATGCTGTATGATTTTGCTCATTGTTGAAGGTCAGATGGTGACCTATCGTTGTAAACTTTGTCATTTGTTGTCTGGTGGAGAGTCGAGTTGGCAATTATAGTCTTGTACATGTACGACATCTTCTTATTTTTATATGCATGTATATTTGTTTTGAGATAGATTATTAGTACATGTAATTAACAACATTTCCCTTGGACTCTGGTGCTTCATTAATACAACATGTAGTATATATCTTTATACAAAGTATGAAGAACTAGCATTATGGCCAAAACGACTGTAAAATACTGGCAATATGACCGATACAATCTGTTCTCGGTGAAATGAGACAAATTTATGTGCTACCATGGCTACGATCTACTGCTTCTGCAGTTTTTTTTAACTTTGCTCATGTATATCTAAGTTTCATATTACTGCTTTGTTACTGTTAGTCATGTGTATGTGTTGATATACTGAAGTTTAAATGTATGTTCCTGCAAATAAATTTTATTTTATTTGATAAGGCATACATGTACATCTTTGCCTGGTCAGATGCGGATCCAGGGCTATGGAAAAGGGGGCCCTGTGTGGGAATAACGTCTTAAGATAGAGTCATTGCATTAATTATATAAGTAGCTCAAACAGCATAGGTGGATCCAGGGGGGCCTGTGCCCCCCTTTTGTGGGAAAAATTTAGTTGATTATATAGGGAATCACTGAAGCATGACTGGAGCGGGCCCCCTCTTAGGTCAGTCAGTGGGCCCCCCTTACAAAAAGTTCTGGATCCTCCACTGTACAGGGGGATAACATGTCACCCCCTAAATGATTTCTCAGGTGTTATAAACATCTTTATTATACAACACTGCCAACATAATAATTATAATATAAATTAGGTGTTTAATGGCATTAAATACTATACATGTAGTATAGACTATTCCATTTATTGAAGCCTTACTACCACTGCATGCTTAAAGTTATACTAACCTTTGTATGTAGCAGTACTATTTCCAATGTGCGAGAGTTTTTCCACCTGGTCCTGCATCAGAGCTACTAAGGAACAACAGACTAAAACTTTCCAGTCAGAACTGTTTTCAATAACCTCCCGGACAACTGGAAGGTACAGTTGAAACGGCAGTGACTTGCCAAAACCAGTCGGGAGTACAGCCACGCAGTTCTTCTTGTTAACAAAACACTCTAAAATTTCCTTTTGCTCCTTCTTTATATCATTTATAAGGGGACGAAGTCCCCTATTACAGTAGAAAAATCAATAAAAAAAAAAAAAAAAAAAAATCGGGAAAATTTCCCGAAATTTTCATTGTACTAATGAACTCAAAATCGTTAACTTTTTTTTTGTAACTTTTTTAAATTCCCGCATTTGCGCAGAAATCTACTTCCTTTTTCCGGTCTCGTTTGTCATGAGACTTTGAGTGAAATATATATTTATCAGTCCAGTACATTATAGGAAGGAACACAATAACAATTTCATTTCTAATTATTCTTTGATATGAAAAAACGTTACCTGATGATAGCGTCTTTGTTTACATTGAATATGACGTCATAATTAAAATAACGTCACAACTAAAATCCCTAACAACAGAACCAAAATCGGAAACGTTACGGTATTTCCGTTTCTTTTTTAACAGATTTAGAACTTTTAAAAAATATGTTTGAATTAAAAAAAAATAATTGATATAGACTTCGTCCCCTTTCACAGGTAATGCCTGCCTCATATTAAGGGGACGAAGTCCCCTATTACGGTAGAAAAATCAATAAAAAAAAAAAAAAAAAAAAAAAAAAAAATCGGGAAAATTTCCCGAAATTTTCATTCTACTAATGAACTCAAAATCGTTAACTTTTTTATTTTCAGACTTTTTTATTTTCCCGCATTTGCGCAGAAATCTACTTCCTTTTTCCGGTCTCGTTTGCATGAGTCTTTGAGTAAAATATATATTTATCAGTCTAGTAAAATATAGGAAGGAACGCAATACCAATTCCATTTTTAATAATTTCTTGAATGGCTTGATATGAAAAAAACGTTACCTGATAGCGTTTCTTTGTTTACATTGAATATGACGTCATAACATAAATAACGTCACAACTAAAATTCCGAACAACAGAACCGAAATCGGAAACGTAAGGGTATTTCCGTTTCTTTTTGAACAGATTTTGAAGTTAAAATATGTTTGAATTAAAAAAAATAATTCATACAGACTTCGTCCCCTTTCACAGGTAACGCCTGCCTCATATTACCAAATTTTGGCAAAACTTTTGTCAAAACGTTGTCCAAACTGGGCGCATCCATATTTTTTAACGATTCGATAATGATATACAAGCCCGTCGCTGATTGGTTAATCGAAATTGATTTTCTGCACGCTGATTGGTCGGTCAAAGTTCACCAAATTTGACCCTAGTCATGACCCTCAAGCGGCTGTTGTTAGATCTCTCACGCGCGACATATAAACAACGAGGAGCAAGTGCGGAGATTTAATTTTAATTAGATTGGTATCATACGTTTTTAATACTGCTATTGTGTTATTATATACATATTACATCGGCATTTTTAGCGATACACGTTACAGAGTTATTTACTATTGAACCATAAAATTTGGAGACTCTTCATAATTATTTCCTGCTCTCGTTGGACTTTTTAAAAAAAGGTTTGTTAGTCACTCTTTATATTCACTTCAAAATATATATAAAGTAAACAAAATGATGACGTATTTAAACTACAAATGCAGCAACTATGACTAGTTTGTCATAGTTCGTTTGCATTTAATTTACAATTTTAATCTGTTCACTTTAAATGTTTTTAAAGGCAAACTGATTATAATTTATTGCATTTACATTTTTATAAAACAAACAACCTACTTAGTGAAACAGATGAGTGTTGAGATTTAAGATCTCCAGCGCTTGACTTTAAACCAACAGGGCACCGTAGTATTGTGATCACTGTGTCTTTAGTACTAAATTGATATTTCGATAGTTTTTTTAATGAAATTGATTTTTTTACTGTGTTATAGCAAATATAGGTTGATGACTTGCTTATACCCCAACCATCCTTGATTCATATCCACAATTCTCGTTAAACCATTATTTGATGGAAATTGAATTTTAATAAATAGATTGGTCAGTAGTCAAGAGTGCACTCTTTTTATTACATTGTGATACTCTAATTATTTTGGGGTTTACAAAGTAAAACATGGACCGTGGCATATCTACATGCATAAAAATGAAAGGCGCGATAGTATGAAATTGAAGATACTTCTCGAAAATTTTCTAGTTGAATAAAAAACATAGTTAGGGCACTTACTTAAACTTTCAATTATCAAATAGTACCTGAACGAGTCATAAACTCATTTTAAATATTTACAGAAACGACCCAGTTTTCACCCTCAGAGATACCATAAATTTCAATATCGGTTGATAAGACTGAATCCCAAATTACCACTTATGTACATACGATTTCGTAACTTCGTAAACAAGTTCAGTTAATAGCAACGTCCATATCAACAATGACCTATACATGTTTAAATGCACACAAATAACTTCTTCTAAGCTAATCTGTCGATGTATATTATATTGTGTGTGTGAAATCTTACTTATTTGAGTGATAATGTTACTGGTTCATTTTAAATACTTTACAATTGATTACTAGTATTGAAATTGATACAACTTTAAGACATGGTAAGTCGTTTAATTATTATTATTCATAACATAATAATTGATAAAACCACGTACGAGATATATATTAAATTCATGTGTTAATATTTTGTTGCATGTAAATTATTCAAACTTCTGACCAACAATGACCAACATGACCAACAATGACCAAAGACCTCTTTTGTTATTATATGTTCTTATAGTTAAATTGCTTGTTTTATATGTACAAGGACATCATTCGTAAATATGAATCAACATGCAGACACCTTATACGTTCAGGTATTTCACATTCCATTTTTTATGGTAATATTCTATAAAAAGCACAAAAATGTCGACATTCACCTCAAAAGCTAACCAAACCTTTAAACAGACTTATTCAGAAGGGATATTGTTATGATACTGTTGTCAGTTCATTAAAGATGGCATATTTTGGTATTAATATTGATTCACTCATAGGGTCTTTGCATCGCAAATAAACACATTTATTCTAAAACCAGTTGTTGGCATGATACGGGTTATGTTCTTCTCATATATTTTCTGATGGTATGATACTTAACCCCTAACGGGAGGGATTGTGCTTGATTTTCATATGATGAAGACATAATCTTTCAATCAGTTTAATCGAGGTCTGGAGCTGGCATGTCAGTAACTGCTAGTAGTCCTTTGTTAATTTATGTATCATTGTCATTTTGCTTAGTTTCTTAAGTTACCTTTTATGACATCGGACTCGGACTTCTTCTAAACTGAGTTTTACTGTGCGTGTTACTGTGTGTTTGTTTATTCTACATTGGCTAGAGGTATAGGGGGGAGTTTGAGATCTCACAAAACATGTTTAACCCCGCCGCATTTTTGCGCTTGTCCCACGTCAGGAGCCTCTGGTCTTTGTTAGTCTTGTATGTTTTTTAATTCTAGTTCATTTATATGTTTTAGAGTTTAGTGTGACGTCCATTTTCATTGAACTAATACACATTTTGTTTAGGGGCTAGCTGAAGCCCTCCTCCGGGTGCGGGATTTTCTCGCTGTGTTGAAGACCCATTGGTGGCCGTCGGCTGTTTTCTGCTGTTTGGTCGGGTTGTTGTCTCTTTGACACATTCCCCATTTCCATTCTCAATTTTATTCTCTTCCTTATTCTCATTTTTTTTTCATCTTTTTATTCAAGTCACATATTCGTGCTATGTCACCTTACACCAACTTTCTTTCTAAAACAAAACCCCAATGTTATCCTTTTTTACTACCGATATATTTTGATTCAAGTAAAGACCTCTTAGTTTGATTTAAATTTTACTTTGATATGTAACACCCACCTATATACACATGTATGTATGTATGTTGGATTAGAAAACTATAGAAGTGAAAAGGTGACAATTGGAAAGTTGAAATCATCACGTTTGTCATAGATTCTAGTTTGAAGTCGTCTATCTGTATCAATATCGAGGAAAGATCAATATATGAAGCATATCTTCTTCTTTTAAGTTCACTGGGATGTATGAGATGTAAGCACACTTTGAAATCTGTGCTAGTGAGTGACAGAATATTATCAATATATCTGAAAATGAAATTAAAAACATTGCAAGATGCTTTTCTTTTAGGCTTTGAAGAGGTTCTGTATGAATTCTTTTTGAACCGACCATGCAAAACTCTCACAGGTAATTAAGGTAATTGAATACCTCGTAGTAGTATTTTGAATTATGCTTCAAATTAGTACAATAACATGCCGACAAATGTGTTGCACAATTAGTACCCATTTGAAATACCGACCAAAATTAACAAATATGTTGTCAAGCAATAAGTCCAGTATTGTGATGGTATCATATTCGGCGTGTTTGTTGTGGGAATCAGTGAGGTTTCTCACAAAGTCAGATTTTTCATTACCTAAAACAAGGAATTTGTATCTACATTTCCCTTTTTTTTTGTAGAAATGGCTATGTTTAATGAGACGAATATCTTGACGACCCCGGTATTTTATATATATATCATTCTTTATAAAGATTTCTGTAAAGTCTATGTATCCAGTATTAAGATGGGATATTTTCATCGTCCTTTTTATACAAAAGGAGAGAAGGACGCATTTAAGATTTTCTGAATGATGTAGGGGTATATGTGGGATTCTAAGTTTTGCAGATTTTCTAAAATCTCTTTTTCGGAAATGATGTAGTGGTATTTGTGGGATTCTCAGTTTTACTTGAAGTATTTAGAAAGCTACATTGCTTAAGCTCGCAGTTTATATTAAAAGATGCATTTAGTTCCAGTTTTTCGAAAAACATCTATAAAGCGTACGTAAAGAGAATATCTGATTAATGTGATAACAGGAAGACAAACCAATAGCGCATGTATCAAATAAAACATACACCAAAATAAATCTGATTTCTTTATATAAAATTGAAAAAACTACAGTAATTACCTAATGAATGTTCTGTTAGACATTAAAATTGCATCATAGATGGAAACCCAATACGTAAATAAAGTACAAGTTAAGTCGCGTAATTATCATGAAGTGTTTAGATACATGTAGCTTTGTTTTGTAGGCGGAACAAGGATTGACAGAAGATCAATGTGAACGTAAGTTATTTATTCAGGTTTCTTATTTTCGATCATTTTAAACACATGATTATATTATCGACATACAGCCTAGATAATTTCCGTACATTAATGGCTGGAATTAATATTGACTCTTAAAGTTTCCTTGTAGATATTACCGGTGTGTTCAATTGGTTTGATAAAAATGGCGATGGAAAAATCGACGCCAAAGAATTGGGATTGGCTCTACGATTAGAGGGATTAAACCCAACAGAAAAAGAAATAACAGAAATGATTCAAAAAGTAGATATTGATGGTAAGACAAAAAACATCCAAATTTGTATGAAAAAAACTATTACCCAAACGTTTAGAATTGATTCACAATAACTATTGTATTTTATTTGCGATACACTATAAGAAGGCATTCGACTTCATATAGCATTGTCCTATCCCTGTTTAAATGACTTTCTTGGAGTCAAATATTATGTTATTTTTGCTGTCATTTTTTTTACCATTGTTCATGATCCCTGAATTCGCCACGAAAAGCATGCGTACCCAATGTGGTTTCTTTCGTGCCGACCGACCAACAAATGGAGAATAAAATTGGTCTAGTTATGTCCAAAAATATAAAATTTTGTAAATTCTGCATTTCCCCGCACCGTGATAAATCGATTTATTGCTGTTTGCTGAACGTCCAGTTGCAGATATTTCATGCACATTCAAAACGAGAACAAACTAATAATTAATTGACGAAGGCGTCTAATGGATTCAATTACAATGTCATTTTGAAACCAAAACCAGAGACTGACAAAAAATATAAAGCATTATATACATGTCAGATTAAATTTTTAGACCATAATGCTGTATGATATAAAAAGGGCAACAGCTATAACATCGATGTCATATTATAATTTAAAAAGTTATTAGCAAATCAGAAGAGGGTGTGGTACATGTCAATGAGATAGCATCCAAACTACAAAAAAAAATCAATATTTACAATGTAAGAATTGAATGCTTCTTTTTGTACATTTATTGGGGTGTAAAAGCGTTGACCGAAGTACGTTTTGTATGAAGCGCGGAAGCGCTTTATTTTAAAAATATGCGCACGGTCAACACTTTTACAACCCTATAAGAATACTTAAAGAACCATTCAATACTTATAATAACATTTTTTGCTAGGATCATGAAAACTCGATTTCTATCAAGTTTTTTTTCTTTTATTTACCTGTGCACTTTATTGTGGAAGCTCGTGTCATCATGTTACATCTCATTTTGAAAAAAATGAAGGTTAATTTCAGAATGACGCGAGATTGCTGTTAGCCAATCAAAATTACGTATTATAATGAAACATATATGTAATGTAATTATTGAAAAATAATAGTAATACCCCTTGAGGTCAACATACATTCTTTCAAATATTTTCAGCTTTAAAGCTTCTTAGCCTTGAATGTTACTGATGAAAAATGAACCAGGAAAGCAGCAATCAGTCATATTTCACCATTTGTTTTCAATTCATTTTGTAGAATTTTTCTTCATTACCAAAATAGATATTATTGGACGTAAAAGTATAACATTTTGGAAATGGATATAATTATTTGCAGAAGTGTTTCTTTTTCTTTTAATTGTACATTGTGTGATAGACGACAAAAATTTTGAATTTTTGATTATAGACGACGGACAGATTAACCACAAGGAATTCATGAAAATGATGGAGGAACAGGTTTTAAATACAGACGAGAAATCAAAGCTTCAAGAGGCATTCAAAATATTTGATAAAAATGATGATGGTCGAATATGTGCATCAGAACTTACAGAAGCTCTCACATCGATCGGAGAAAAGTTATCACGAGAGGATATCAGTGAGTTAATGAAGAGAGCTGACATAGATAAAAACGGAACCATTTGCTATAATGGTATGTTAAAGTATTAGAAGCCTCGATTAAAAGCTTGACAGACGGTATAGACATTTGTTGAAGCCAGTATATGTTGTCTTGTTGTGCCCGGGTTTTTGTTTGTATTCTAGGGCTTTTATGACCCCGCAATAAACAATGTGGACATTAAGTGTTAGTACCCTTGACCTTCCGTCCGTCCGTCTCATTTTCGTTTCCGTACTCTAACTTACGATTTTCTCATCCAAATGTCTTAAACTCATACACAATGCTAAGAATCAAAACTCGCAGACAGAGTTAGAATTTTCAAGTCACTTACCGTTCTAGAGTTATACCCTTTATGAGTTGGAAAATTGCATTTATTTTTCCTTTTTGCACTCTTACTTGAGCTTTCCTTGTCGAAATTTTATGAAACTCATACACACACACACAATACTAAGAACCAAAACTCGTTGAAAGAGTTCGAATTTGTACAGTAAGTCACTTACCGTTCTAGAGTTATGCCCTTTATAACTTTTTGCACTCTTACTTAAGTTTTCCTTATAGAAATTTATGAAACTCACAAACACACACACACACAATACTAAGAACCAAAACTCGTTGAAAGATTTCGAATTAATACAATAAGTCACTTACCGTTCTAGAGTTATTCTCCTTTTGAACTTGGAAAATTGAAAAGCTTGAGCGGAGTCATTATTTGTCCTCAGACATATTCTTCTTTAATTATTCCACATAACATCTTTTTATGCATAAATATAATGAACGAGCTTATCTTCAAAACTATTTTCTCTCTGATTATGGCACCCTCAACGGAGTTGGGGTGACATATTGTTATTCTACGTTTCTTTTTTTTCTGTTTTTTATTTTTCTTCCACTTTTTTTGTCCAGCTTATATCTTGGAATTCTATGAACCAATTGTTATGGAACTATACCATAATGTTAATCAGCAAGTGCAGATTTGCAATCGGGGTATGGCATTTTCAAGATGGCTGCCGTTACCATGGAAACAGCAAAAATGTCCAAAATTTCGATATGCTCCAAAGTTAATGAAACTTTACACAAATATTGAATGGCATAGTCAAATTGGACATCTGTATATTATTTGTACTGTTATCTTACAATTTTTTTTATGTTTTTCAGAGTTTGTCGTTTTAATGACTGATATGAATCCAGGAAGTAAATCCTCGACCAAAGCATGCTAAAACGTTGCTATATCAACAATTTAGTGACTTTAAAATAATAATTTAAGGAATAAAGAATATAAATTTAAATGATTTTTTTTTAACTTCAAAGGTGTGTGCAATAATTTGTAAGCAATAGATATGGACATACGCTATATATCTTTTGGTGGTATTAACGTGTTGCTTGATTGCTTTATTATTGGTGTATAGGCAGAAAAGATGCTGAGGATACCAAAAGGAGAATCAAAACTCATAACTCGAACGCAGAGATCGGCAAAATCATGGAAAAAAAATACCGAGAAAACAAGTCCAGAATACACTACATGAAATATTAAAGACAGAGCATCACAACCCCCACCAAAACCGGGTGTTGTATCATGTGATCCAACAATCCTTAAAAAGTTTCATTTAAATCGCCTCGGTGATTTCGAAATAGCATGCTCGCTCGACTTGATGGTTCCTGTTAAAAAGGCGAGCATGCTACTATGAAAATGTATGCATGAAAAGAACAATTTATAGATAAAAAAATTTCCAGATATCTTTGTAATAACATGCACAACTTTTGGAGCACCTGAGAAAGTACATACAAAATGCTGTGCATTTGATATTTAAAATAGATCTTCGAACTAAGCATAACTTGAGAGTTATCCATTCATAATGCATGTTTGTGTCAACATAATCAAATATTGGTGTTAAATAAAAAAAAAAGTATAGCATATCAAGATTTTCAAGAATCTATTACTAAAATAGAATCAGGAAATAAAGAATCTTTGAGAAATAAGAAATAATCTCCTGTTTATAATTTGATTATTTATTCTATATGCATGCCTAAGTCATTTATTGTATAATATTACAACAAAAGTCAAAAAGTTCTCTACAAACTATATATAACAAATGTTGGTTGAAAAGGCGTTTTTGATGACAATTGAAAACGTTCCTAAGATGTAAACAAGTCAAAGACATATCTTTAGAAAAACATTTTCAAATTAGAAACATATCTAAGTTGTGAAACTGCAATTGAATGAGGACTGATGGCTAAATTTAGAGTAAGCGCCCATAGCCTCAACATTGAGAAAGGAGGATCATAATGTAATTTATATATCGATAAGAGAAAATGTAATTTGTAAGGGTTCTATTGAAGAAGAAATACATTTTTTAATTCAATGAACGACCTTAATAACATTGAGGAAATCATACCAGGCTCAAGCTGGCAGCCACTTTTAGCAGCCAATCAAGATAGCAGCCACTTTTTTCCAGCAGCCAATTTTAATGATATGTCCAAAAACCAAAAAACTATATAAGACTCAAACGTTCCAAAGATCTCAAATCTTAGTTAAATATAATAGCACCTCCTTTAACAGCGGAATTCGACATTTTCACGGCTTGTCGTGATTCTCAAAAGATGACAATCCGTTTTATATAACAATGATGCTAGCAGCCACTTGTTTTTTCGGAGGACACTGTTTGTTTAATAAAATAAGGTACAATTTAAAATCGTTTTTTTTTCGTTCTTCTTCTCGTTTTTGATTCCTTATGATTAGGAGGTACAGAAACAATGTAGGAATAGAAATTAAAATATAAAAGTACAAGTGCCATTGTTAATAATGGATTTAAGTAAGTTGTGAGGAATCGTGTTATATATATATATATATATATATATAAACAAGTCTAAATTGAAATATATATATATATATATATATATATATATATGTGTGTAGAGTTGTCAGTGGTTCAGACGTACTTATAAATATAATTATTTCTGTGACTGTATCTTGCATTAATTTGTAGGATCCTTTACAATAGATATTTCAGCTGATCTGTAACAATTCCATCTTCATGCCTTATATATCATGTACTGTATTACGACGCTAGATTAAAACTGACGAGGAAAGGTAACACCCGGCCACCGAAAGCTTTATTATTTGAAGCCTAAGTGGCCGTGTGGTCTAGCGCGTCGGATACAGTGCAGGCGATTTGGTGTCACGATATCTCAGTAGCATGAGTTCGAATCCCGGCGAGGGAAGAACAAAAAATTTGCGAAAGCAAATTTACAGATCTAACATTGTTGGGCTGATGTTTAGACGAGTTGTATATACAGAATGTACACAGCCATGTATCACCATCACTGCTGGTGATCCGATGGATAAATCTGTTGTAGAGTTGTCACTGGTTCAGACGTACTTATAAATATAATTATTTCTGTGACTGTATCTTGCATTAATTTGTAGGATCCTTTACAATAGATATTTCAGCTGATCTGTAACAATTCCATCTTCATGCCTTATATATCATGTACTGTATTACGACGCTAGATTAAAACTGACGAGGAAAGGTAACACCCGGCCACCGAAAGCTTTATTATTTGAAGCCTAGGTGGTCGTGTGGTCTAACGCGTCGGATACAGTGCAGGCGATTTGGTGTCACGATATCTCAGTAGCATGAGTTCGAATCCCGGCGAGGGAAGAACAAAAAATTTGCGAAAGCAAATTTACAGATCTAACATTGTTGGGCTGATGTTTAGACGAGTTATATATATATATTTCCATGAACTGAATGAAAACGATGCAATGTACTACAGAAAAATTGCATACAGGCTTTCCATACACTCGGCATCCAGTATTTCCGTTGAAACTATTTTCAATATCTATTTCTGTGTATATGAAATGAAAACATTTCGATATACCTGTAATGTTAATCTTTTTTTAATGTGAACAAGTATTTTCTATAAAAATCCTATGTGGACTATTTTGAACGGCATGCGACATTACCAATTTATTAATCTAAATCTGAAATTTTCCATGTCAAATGTGCCAGTACAAATGATTGACATACATGTACAACTAGATCTGTGGTGTCCAGACGGGCCCGGATCCCAGAAAAATATTTAAGTGGCTTCAGCTGGCCCCTAAACAAAAATGTGTACTAGTTCAGTGAAAATGGACGTCACACTTAACTTCGAAACATATATATGAACTAAAATAAAAACAAAAACAAAAACATACAAGACTAACAAAGGCCAGAGGCTCCTGACTTGGGACAGGCGCAAAATTGCGGCGGGGTTAAATATGTTTTGTGTGATCTCAACCCTCCTCCTATACCTCTAGCTAATGTAGAATAAACAAACATACAGCAATACACACAGTAAAACTCAGTTTAAAAGAAGTCCGATATCAGAATAGGTAACAAAAGAAATTAAGCAAAATGACAATGATACATAAATTAACAAAGAACTTCTATCAGTTACTGACATGCCAGCTTTAGACCTCAATTAAACTGATTGAAATATTATGTCTTCATTATATGAAAACCAAGCACAATCCCTCTCGTTAAGGGTTTAGTATCAAACCATCATAAAATATACGAGAAGAACATAACCCATATCATTCCAACAGCTGGTTTTAGAATAAATGTGTTTATTTGCGATGCAAAGACCCTGTGAGTGAATCTATATTAATACCAAAATATGCCATCTTTAATGACCTGACAACATAATCGTAACTATATCCCTTCTGAATAAATCTGTTTAAAGGTTTGGTTAGCTTTTGAGGTGAATGTCAACATTTTTGTGCTTTGTATAGAATATTACCATAAAAGATTGGACTTGAAATACCTGAACGTATAAGATGTCTGCATGTTGATTTATATTTACGAATGATGTCCTTGTACAAATGATAAAATTTAGTAAATGTTTTGATTAGGTTGTGATATCAAAAACTCTGGTGTGATAATTTTTCAGTAATACAGAGATTTCTTTCGTTAAAATCAAATACGTTGTTACATATAAGAGCGAATCGAACAAGTTGAGATGTATAAACACCATAAGATGGTGACAAGGGAACTTCACCATCTAAAAATTGATAATTAACAATAGGAAATGAAAAATCGTTTCATTTATCGAAAATTTTGGTATTAAGCTTCCCGTTAAAGATAAAGATATCAAGATCCAGGAAAGGGCAATGTTCGTTATTGGTATTAGCTTTATTTAAAGTCTGTTCAGCAGGATAACTCTCTTTAGTGTACATACTGAAGTCGTCATTATTGAGAGCCAATATATCATCCAAATATCTAAAAGTGTTATTAAATTTTTGTATCATGTGCTGTTTCGATGGGTCTTTGCAGATTTTAGTTATAAATTTTAACTCATAACAATACAGAAACAGGTCCGCAATAAGTGGTGCACAGTTAGTCCTCATTGGAATTCCGATAACTTGACGATATACGGAATCTCCATAGCGAACAAAAATGTTATCTAGTAAAAATGCAAGTGCATTTATCGTATAAAAGCAGGTCCGGTTGATATAGTTCTTTTGTTCGTTCTTACTAAAAAAACGACATAAAAGTGTTTGAATATATATATATTCGCATTCTGACTTTTTAAATGTCCATTTAATTAGGTGTGTGCATTTTTTCTTAATGAGATTATGAGCGAAAGTGGTATGTAGGGTAGGAAAAATCAAAACTTTTAACAAATTCGAAATCACCATGCAATTTATCAAGTACTTCCAACGAATTTTTCACACTTTAAAAGCAATTAATTCCACTATTTTCAAAGGTCTTATTTGAACAATTTATTACCAGGTTTTTGATTGTAGTAAGTGTACTAGTAAGTAGAATAGACAGTTAAGTAGTGGAGCAATGGCTTGAGGACGAAATAAATCGATATTTGCAAGGTGTTTTGTGAAGCTTCGGAAGCCAGTTCATAGTTGGAACCTATTGCTTTTGGGTCCATATGTCAAAAAGTAAAATCACAAAAATACTGAACTCCGAGGAAAATTCAAAAAGGAAAGTCCCTAATCAAATGGCAAAATCAAAAGCTCAAACACATCAAACGAATGGATAACAACTGTCATATTCCTGACCTGGTACAGGCATTTTCTTACATAGAAAATGGTGGATTGAACCTGGTTTTATAGCTAGCTAAACCTCTCACTTCGCTTTTTAACTGAAGTTTTTCCTGACTGTTTGCAATGAAACAGGTACAGATGAAAGATAAAGGGCAGTAGAAAAAGCTCATTGATTTTTCTATGAATAGGTCGAAGATCAGGTCATTGTTACTGGATGTATATATATATATATATCTAAAAGTCTAAATTGAAAACAACGTTCAAACCTATGATTGCGTTGGATAAAAACCGCAATTTTTATACGTGTGCATGTAAAACAAATTTCGTGGTAGAGGGGTCTAAATACAGCACAAACAACAATTTCCAAAAGACCAAAAAAAGTGAAAAAGTCTATTTTAACAAAACGCATTTGACTAACAGGTCGAACAACTGATGTTCTTAAACCCTGCTGACTGCCATTGGCGATTGCCAAATAAATTGATCACCAGATCTAACAAAATGGATCTTAAAATTAATTTAATACCAAACAGAAAACAATAAACTTGCGGAAAAGATGGTATACAACAAACATGAGGTGCAAAAATTTGTACACCATATCTGGATTTCGACAATAAATGTCTCTTCAGTGATGTTAGGGATCGAAACGGTATTTGGAAGGCCATATAATTTACCTCAATTTAGGAAAGACTCTTGAATTTTATAGAGTCGAAATAGGATGAACGGATCATATAAACCCGAAGGAAAATATAATACAAGCCCAAACGAAAAAATATATAAAAGTCTAAATTGAAAACAACGTTCAAACCTATGATTGCGTTGGATAAAAACCGCAATTTTTATACGTGTGCATGTAAAACAAAGTTCGTGGTAGAGGGGTCTAAATACAGCACAAACAACAATTTCCAAAAGACCAAAAAAAGTGAAAAAGTCTATTTTAACAAAACGCATTTGACTAACAGGTCGAAAAACTGATGTTCTTAAACCCTGCTGACTGCCATTGGCGATTGCCAAATAAATTGATCACCAGATCTAACAAAATGGATCTTAAAATTAATTTAATACCAAACAGAAAACAATAAACTTGCGGAAAAGATGGTATACCACAAACATGAGGTGCAAAAATTTGTACACCATATCCGGATTTCGACAATTAATGTCTCATCAGTGCTGTTAGGGATCGAAACGGTATTTGGAAGGCCATATAATTTACCTCAATTTAGGAAAGACTCTTGAATTTTAAAGAGTCGAAATAGGATGAACGGATCATATAAACCCGAAGGAAAATATAATACAAGCCCAAACGAAAAAATATATAAAAGTCTAAATTGAAAACAACGTTCAAACCTATGATTGCGTTGGATAAAAACCGCAATTTTTATACGTGTGCATGTAAAACAAATTTCGTGGTAGAGGGGTCTAAATACAGCACAAACAACAATTTCCAAAAGACCAAAAAAAGTGAAAAAAGTCTATTTTAACAAAACGCATTTGACTAACAGGTCGAACAACTGATGTTCTTAAACCCTGCTGACTGCCATTGGCGATTGCCAAATAAATTGATCACCAGATCTAACAAAATGGATCTTAAAATTAATTTAATACCAAACAGAAAACAATAAACTTGCGGAAAAGATGGTATACCACAAACATGAGGTGCAAAAATTTGTACACCATATCCGGATTTCGACAATTGATGTCTCTTGAGTGATGTTAGGATCGAAACGGTATTTGGAAGGCCATATAATTTACCTCAAGTTTAGGAAAGACTCTTGAATTTTAAAGAGTCGAAATAGGATGAACGGATCATATAAACCCGAAGGAAAATATAATACAAGCTCAAACGAAAAAATATATAAAAGTCTAAATTGAAAACAACGTTCAAACCTATGAATGCGTTGGATAAAAACCGCAATTTTTATACGTGTGCATGTAAAACAAATTTCGTGGTAGAAGGATCTAAATACAGCACAAACAACAATTTCCAAAAGACCAAAAAAAGTGAAAAAATCTATTTTAACAAAACACATTTGACTAACATGTCGAACAACTGATGTTCTTAAACCCTGCTGACTGCCATTGGCGATTGTCAAATAAATTGATCACCAGATCTAACAAAATGGATCTTAATATTAATTTAATACCAAACAGAAAACAATAAACTTGTGGAAAAGATGGTATACCATGATTAGTGGATATAAATTAAGTTTTCATTTTTGGTTAATAACGAAACTTGAATAGATGAAAGATATAGAGAAAAGGAAGAATCCTATTGATTTGCGGTAAAATGTCACACATAATACAAATACACAACAAAGAAAAAATAATTGCAGTTTGTTGTTTCTGGGTGATATTTTGATATACACTTGTTGAATTTGAATAAAACTTACAAAACTAGTTGAGAGATGAAAAAGGTATAAAGTCTACTGATTTTAGGTCAGCTGGTCAAAAGTCAAAAGTCAAGGTCATGGTAACTGGTGATAGCTGCAAATAGTAAGACATTTTCCAAATTTTAGTTTTTAGATGAAATCACTAAATATGTCCTTTGGTTTTCTTAATATTTTTGCTGGACAGTTGAAAAATTAGCAATTAAAGTACTTGCTATATGTGTTCTTCCAAGTATACTAATATTTGATCACTTAAAATAAAAACGTTTTCTCTCAATAAATGTGCAGTTTGTGGAGCATCAGTTGGCATTGCCAGTTATATATAATAAGATTTCGGAAGATATTTTCTCATGCCCATGCAGAATTTAAAAAAAGTCAAATACGGATTCAGCAACACCACAGACAAAGTTTGTCTGTAAAATGGGTGTTTTTATCTCAAAGAATTGATCATTTATGCAGTCCTGTGTGACATTTTTTTAATGTATTTAAACATGTGAATAGTTTGCATCGTACAGACATTATTAAGTCTTTTTTATCATCCAGTACTATGCATTGTGTACTTAAATCGTGAAACTATATTCATTAAGATATAAAAATTTATGATCTGAAGATAAAGTGTGATCCTATTAGATAATAATGAAAATGAAATAGATGTGGATACTGCCAACAAACCATGGAGATATGTCGCAATGCAGGTTACACTTTAATGCCGCATTGAAGGTTATCCTCACCGTACATTCCAATGTTGAAAAAAGGTATCCATGAGGAAACTATATCTTTTTTGCATAAAAAATATTTTCCAAAATTGTTATTTTTTATCATTCGATTGTTGATTTCAAATTCAACAATATTTGTTAATGATAATTAAATTTGTAATCAAGATATATGTATAGTGGAGATTGTTAGCAAGATTATTCACACCTTTACATGTCCCCTCAGTATTAAGTTAATTTATATGACGGACTACTGTCAAAAGGACATAATCAAAAGTTGATTCCGAAATGGTAAGTCTTAATCATGTCTTATATAGTTTTTTTTTCTTTTCATTCTGAAACGCAATTATTACGTCAAAATCGCTTTATATAACCAAACATGATTTCAGAAATTTATTAGTATGATTATGATAAATGATGAATATCATATAATTATTATTATTATTATTATTATTATTATTATTATTATTATTATTATTTGCAATTGAATTTTTAAATGTAATGATTTTCACTTGTCGTTATATCTTATAATGCATATTTAAAAACATTAGTTTTTTATTTATTTTTGAATTTTATTTTGAATATAAATTTTTGAAGTAAAAAACGTGTATACATTCACCAAATTCTATTATAGGCCGCAGACAACTTAACAGAAGAACAGATTGCAGGTAAAACATTTTGAAATATTAATCTCTTTACTTTAATTTGTCTTAATATTAATAGAATCGAAATCTAAATATGAACCCTCATGGCACGTGGATGGAGGAGAGAACATGAAATAACAATATACTTTAAACTATAAACTTGAATTTAAAAGAAACTTTGACAAAACAGGCATCTTAAGGTCAACGCGCGGAGGCATTTGGCTCGACAGCTTGCAAAAGGGTAAACAAAACCTTAAACTTGTCATTGCAAGTGTTCATGAATCTCGTGAAAATGTTCTGTATATAAAAAAGTAAATGTTATATGATTGCCAATGAGACAACTATCTACCAAAGTTAAAATAAAGTGGATGTAAGCGATTATAGCCAACCATACAGCCTTCAACAATGAGATAAATTCATACCGTATAGTCGGCTAAATAAGTAACTGATTCTTGTATATAATTGCAAATAAAACATATATTTCGGCAGGGATACAAAAGTCAAAACATATCTATAAACGTGACTGTTTTTTTTTCAATTCTTGGCCTTTAATGAAAAATAAATCAGTACTCGGAGTACAAAATTTGTGCTCGAAACACAATATCCAGTATTTTGATTGGTTGACTTGTGAGTCTGAGTACGAAAATCATACTAGAAATTTTTTAAGACTGTAAGTCTTGGTCTTTGCAAGACAAACAAACAAACAAACCCAAAACTTGTCATTTAATAAAAATACCACAATTGTTCTTTATGTATCAGCATATGGGAAATTATTATTATTTATACTTATTTGACATCATTTGAAAGTTGTAGAGTTTTAAAGAACTTGTTCAAATTTAATTTGCCTTTTTTGACGATTTGCGGAAACATCTTATATTCATGACACTGGTAGATATGTTTTTTTTTTAAATTGCAAAATAAACATCCTTGCTAAGTGTTCATTCCTGTATATGTTGATCTCTGAAATGCCTCCGGACTTAAAAACAAGTGTAGCAAGAATTCAGGGATGAATTTTACTATACTCATAATACAAAAATGTTGCCTAACATAGCCGACTAGCTCACAAACATGATAACGCTCAAAGTGTGTGAGTAAAAACCCGTGTTTACACATCAATAAACACCGTAAACATTACCCTTATTACATTTATAGTTATGATTCCAATAAAAATATACTAAAACTAAGTTCATATAAAAAATGTCAGCAACATTTAAAGAACTATTTCGTGAGGTTGCAATACAGATTTATACATGTAAACACTAGTATGATGCCATGCCATTCCAAAACATTGGAATAAAAAAAATAAAAAAAAAATAATAATAATAATTTATTGAATCAACAGAAATACTAACTTGTAAATATAATTGATCGGAAGTGGGTCTAAAATATTCTCGTAAGTCTTAAAATGTTTTTTTTTCAAGACCCAGTTTGATTTATCATTCACACCAAAGCTTCGTTGATATTGAACATTTTTTGTTGTAGAATTTCAGGAAGCGTTTACGCTTTTTGACAAGGATGGTGATGGGACTATTACAACCAAAGAACTGGGGACAGTTATGAGATCACTAGGACAAAATCCCACGGAGGCAGAACTTCATGACATGATAAACGAGGTTGATGCCGACGGTAAGTACATAAGCAGACGGTACCGTTTTGAATTTTGAACTCACAACTTACAATAATTCTTACAATACTCTTAACGTACAACAGTAAGATTTGTTCAGTCGCAAGTTTATAGAAATTTAGATTAGAACTTGACATATTGTAAAGATACTTGTCGATTGTTGAAGACTCTGTGTTGCCTTCTACAAGTCTTATTGTCATTTATCGTTGGGTTGCTGTTTCATGACGTTAATCCTTTTTCTCCTTTTATTAGTTGATATAAAAGTACTTAAAATGAAAAGAAAAGAATGGAGTCACCGTTCTCATTGTCTAGCTACATAACAAAATAGACAAATTAACTGTACAATCCTTTACCAACTAAATTATAAGACGTATACCTACTAAAAAGAAACGTTTTTGAATTTTATTTGATCAATAAAAAATCTTTTTCTTTGTAAAAGTAAAATTTTGTCCGTAAGTTAGTTTGAAATATCTACCTTAAATTTAAAGTTCAACAGATTGAAATTAATAAATATACTTTATTTTGTGTTGTAAATTTCTACTTCTGTTATAATTTAGAAATTTAGGAAATGAAAAGATATGGTGTACTAATTCATTTATCAAATTAGCTACAAGAACATGAAAAATTTAAAAAAAAAAAGACAAAAGCAAAGGAACAGTGCTTTATCTGCTTTTCTTCATCTCAAAGTCACAATGAGGATTTCAACAGGGAGGGAAAACTATCACCTCACTACAAGTTCAAGACCTAGCACAACATTGATTGAAAATATTTATTATAACTATAGCGATCACGCTACATCTGAATAACTGTAAAAGTATAAGAGCGTACAGCTTAAACGGGGGAAACTTTAGTGTAAAAGGAAAATAAAACTCTATAGAATATTTGTCAAAGAAGAACGAATAATAGATCCTCGTTCAATCTGACTATCGGAAATGCGAATAATAGATCCTCGTTCAATCTTGCTATCGGAAATGCGAATAATAGATCCTCATTAAAACGCACTCTCAGAAAAGCGAAAAATAACAGACCATCGTTTAAGCAAACTATCTGAACATTGAAATGAATATATTCTCGTTCAAGCTTACTATCGGAACAGCCAAAAACACCAAACAATCATTATAGATCATCGTTTAAGCTTACTATCGGAACCGCGATAAACAATTATAGATCCATGTTCAAGATTACTATCGGAACATCGATAAACAATTATAGATCCATGTTCAAGCTTATTATCGGAACATCGATACACAATTATAGATCCTTGTTCAAGCTTACTATCGGAACATCGATAAACAATTATAGATCCAAGTTCAAGCTTACTATCGGAACATCGATAAACAATTATATAGATCCTCATTCAAGCTCACTATCAGAAGTGTAAAACAATAGATCCTCGTTCAAACGTACTACCGAAACAGCTAAAATACAACTGCTCCAGGTGTAAACATACAACGCATCTTAAAACGCATTGTACTTTATAAATAACTAAATAAAAACATTTAATTCCACCATTTAACCAAAATTGAAATGTTGATGCAACCAAGGAAACTGCAATGTTAAAATGGAACCAGTAATACACTTGAGGATTGGTAAATATATTTACAACTTACTTGATGTACTGTCGAAGGAAATTCAATAGACAATTGTTAAGTCCACTTGTTTTGCAGGATTATGCATCGACGGAATGATTTATTTTGTATTTAAAAGAATAAGCATGTATTATATAAATCGTAGCTTCAATTAAAAAATCTTTTTCTTTGAACTGATGTCTGCATATTACTTTTCGCCCTATCAGTCCGTACGTCTTTCCGTCCGCCTGTCAGTTTGTCTGTCTGTGAGTCCGGCAACACATCCGGTCTATGGTTTGTCTCTTGAACTTTTATTCACAGTTTAACAGTAGATTTTAACTTCATAAAACAGTTGTACATACTGATCATGAAGATGAGAATATGGTAAGGGTTATATTTTGCACAAAGTTACCGTTATTCAATTTGGTCAATTTAAGGATCCCACAAGGGGTACTGTCTTATGAACGAACTTCTCTTTCAGTTTATGAGTTATAACCTTTTTGTTCTGTGGAACAGTTTTAAATATGCTAAAGATGTACATGTGGACAGGATTAAGAGTTTCTATGTATTTTCTTTTCAACAGTAGTTCAACCTACTCAATTTGGGGTGTTGGATTTTGGTTTTGATTGCTTTTTTCGCAAAAACTACGAATTGTTGAATATTGTCTCCAAAAATCATTCATTTGAAACTGACTTCATTCAGGAAGTTCTTATAAAGAATTAAAGAAGTTACTAGTAGTATTGTCCTTTAACTTAACGTTTCACTATATATATAGATAATTAATACAGTTTAGAATCTTTGTGGGAGAATTTGGAGCTTGTTATATTGTATAGACATCCGTCTATTGTCGAAGACTCACGGTATGTTGCCGTCTAGATTCCTTTTAGTCATTTTCTTCGTTGGGTTGCTGTTTCATTGACGTGTTCTCAACATCTCTTTTCATTCAAAGTCTCTGATAAATTCAAACTAATTTTTTTTTAATTATTTTTTTATGAAAGAGTTATGACTCTTACAATACATTTAAATAAAGGAAACGTGAGTTATATTTATATTACAAAGAATCAAGAAAAACATTTCGTTGATGATATCTCCACTCAAGAAAAATGTGGAACATTTACCGATTTCTATGTTTTGTTTTATAGGAAATGGAACAATAGATTTCCCAGAATTCTTAACAATGATGGCGAAAAAGATGCAAGGCAGCGGAGATGACCAAGAGGAACTACGAGAAGCATTCCGGGTATTTGATAAAGATGGAAATGGCTTTATCAGCGCAGCTGAACTAAGACATGTTATGACAAATCTAGGAGAAAAACTTACGGACGGAGAAGTTGACGAAATGATACGGGAAGCTGATACAGATGGCGATGGTCAAGTAAATTATTCAGGTAAATATTTTATGTTCATCTTTGATTTGTTATACAAAATTTCATTCGCAATTCTTGAAGTAAAAAAGAATACTAATGTCAAAATCTAAACTGCTTGAAAAGCAAAATATTCAATCACTAAGAACATTTCGCAAAAGTTGGTCACAGATTTATTTTGGTTGTTATATGTCACTTATTTTATATTAGATATTTATTTACTAGTACATGGCTTAAATTTGGTTCTGTGCATTATTGTTGGATGTAAATGAATAAAAATGTACATTTAATCCAGCTTAATATTTATAGATACAATAAAATGAATGTAACGATGATCAATGTACTTTAATTTACCAAAAAAATGTTATATGTGTTTTTTTTTCTGTTTCATTTTGTAATATATAATGTCTATTTCTTTTGTAGAGTTTGTGAAGATGATGACACACAAGTGAACTCCTATGTATACCATTTGACCTCATTTATTTGCAATAAACTAATGTTTTCAATTACAAATCTCTTACGCCAAAAGAAAGAAATTTATATAGCGTTTATGGTGTTCTTTAATTCTTTCTGATATCCATACCCCTTTGAAATGATTATATCGACAGTAAAATCCATAATGTATCGGGAAGTCTGTTTACATGTGGCTGTTCAGTATGTATAAATACGCAATTCAACTTCTGGTCAAAATGGGGACGTTAAATCCATGTCTCGTACATGGAAAGTTCCATGTTGTCTGCACGATTTAGAACCTTTTCAACAACTCTTTTGGGTCCGTATGTGACTTTTTGAAAAGTAAAATGTACTCCCCTATTCAACATGACTTTATTTTCCAGCAGTAGATGAAATTCTAGTGCTTCATCTCGGTCGGCCAGCTTTGCAGATCCTAATAATTCTTTATCGTGAATTTGTTCTCGTGCCTGGATATGCATGCAATATTTCCGACTGAATGTTAAGCAAACAACAACCAATCTTTATTCGCGTGGTATTTTTTGAAATATTTTATATCAAAAATATTGCTTTCATAGTTTTTCTTGAAGCCTTATATTATCCTGAACTAAAATCTCGAAAGACCCGAATAAGCAGTCGTTTATCGAGTAATCCGACCCTAATATCGAAGGGACCCGAGTAAACAGTCGTTTATTGAGTAATCCAACTGTTATATCGAAGGGACCCGAGTAAGCAGTCGTTTATTCAGTAATCAAGCTGTTATATCGAAGAAACCCGAGTAAGCAGTCGTTTATTGAGTAATCCAACTATTGAATCGAAGAGACACGCGTAAGCAGTCGTTTATTGAGTAATCAAACTGTTAAATCGAAGAGACTCGAGTAAGCAGTCGTTTATTGAGTAATCCAACTGTTAAATCGAAGAGATTCGAATAATCAGTCGTTTAGACCCGAGTAAGCAGTCGTTTATTGAGTAATCCAACTGTTATATTGCAGGGACCCGAATAAGCAGTCGTTTATTGAGTAATCCAACTATAATATCGAAGGGACCCGAGTAAGCAGTCGTTTATTGAATAATTCAACTTTGAAACATAAACTCAATATAAAGAAGTCTACGAAGGAGTGACAACTCGTCCCAATCTACCATTTTGTTAGAAGTTAACATGTTGGAAAAGAGGCAAAACATAAAGACAACGGCTGCTGTTATCTTAGTTCATATAACGTTATAAATTAATCTTATGCTACCGCTGTTTTATTTTTCTCTATTCTGTAAGTGATGCAGTCTCCATTTTACATCATTCTTACTATGCAAATTGCGAAATGTTACTATGGATGAAAACGAAAATTAAAAAAAAATTCCTTTTATGTCATGTTCTAAAGAAGTGACGTAAGAGATATATGAATTGTTGCTTTTTAATTACATGCATCATAGGTACTTGGGGACAGGACAATTTATTTTAGTCCTCCCCCTTTTATATTATATCAGTGACCGCTGGTGATAGTAATCTTGGAATTGATAGTAAATAGCAAATACAAGTTATTTCTAGTTTATCTATGTTCATTTAATACAGAAACACGCGAAAATAATTGAGATTAATAGAAAACAAACGGATTTTGTAAAAAAAAATGGGGAGGGCTAAAAATAAATTGTCCTGTCTCCATGTACCTATGACGCACAAGACATTTTATCACTTTATTTTAAAAAGTACTGAAAAATAATTGGAATGCACAACGCGAATTTCATCAAAAATTTATAAACATAATTATGTGTATATATATAATGTTTAATGTTTCATTTATATATTCAGGTTTCGTTGAATACTAAACATACCGTTTGACTGAATGTATATAAAGAAATACTTATAAAAATTATTAATCACAACATATTCGGGTGGCTTAATTTTGCCGCAATGCGACATATTACTAAGGAAAATATCACCCATTAAGATTTCTTACACGTATCCGAATATAATATATCTAATAAAACTCGTTAGGACATTTTAAAAAGAGCTTTACCTCATTGAATTGAAATTGCTCCAAAATTGATCTTGAAAGTTATAAGTTATTATGACGGTTCTGAAAGCAGCCAGACCATTTGATACATTTATTGTGACCATGTAATGTTGTCAGGTACTGCCCAACAAAGAAAAGCATATGTCCTTTAAAGCTTGTGAAGATACCAGACATTAAGGACACACATTCCGAAGAATCCCTACGCAGATTTACATAAAAACTGTTTATGGTGATTATTTTTTTTATTTAAATCTGATTCGAGGAATAGCAAGTAACCCTTCCTTTAGTAAAAAATGACAATTTTTTAGAGGCATTCAAAGAATTAAACAAATGTGGAGAATATATGTAGAATTAGACAGAATGATGTTAACAGAAGGCACCATACTAAGAAACAATTCTATACCTCTGCATTCCCAAAACCCATACTTTCAAAATGATCATTCTAAAACAACAACAGTACTGGTATCAAACATACCACTATCAACAGATGATGGTCAAATTGACAGTGAATTAAATCTAAGAAACATACAGGTTCTCGCTTTGAAAAGAGTGGCTTATTTGAACTATAACCGGAAAACATAACTGTCTATACGCCCCATAACCATTTCGTCCTAAGATGTAAGAATGTCTTTAGCACATCTACAATTGTAATAGTCATACAATGTAAAACGTTTAATAAACAAGATTAAGTTGTATCTTTATTGTTAGATGTTTTTATTTAAGTTTATGTAAATAATCAAAATCTAAATCCAATTAATAGCCTTTAGAACTTTTATTCAAGTGTAACTGTATGTCTAAAATGTCAACTAGAGGAATATTTTACTTGACTTTCTTAAGAGTGAATATGCTACAATTTCCATTATATAGTAAGAAGTAAGGGAATTGACATTCTTCCCTATTGGATTTAGAAGATGAACAATCTGTTGGTCCTTTTTTTCTAACCAATATCGATTTTGGAAGATGAAAAGGTCTTCTGTAACAATATGAACACAAGACATACTATATCCAAACGTCGAATTTAAGGTTACAAGCGCTAGGGTCGTTGTTTTCAATATCTATCTCGGGAGGGTATACTTAAAAATTCTATTTCCTAAATTTTTTTTTATTAGTGTAAGATATACATTTTTACCGCTATAACTGTTTACTTGACCATTTAATCAAACAGTGATGACAACTTTCACCTACATGTATCATTTATATATCAAATAGCTAACAAACCACTAGTTGTTAGCCAGACCGCGCTAACAAACCACTAGTTGTTAGCCAGACCGCGCTAACAAACCACTAGTTGTTAGCCAGACCGCGCTAACAAACCACTAGTAGTTAGCCAGACCGAGTTCTTTGCCACTGACAATACAGACCCGGTGGTCTACAAAGTTCATTGAACATCACATAGAACTAATTTCTTTTACTGTAAAAAATTCAGCTATTACAAATAAAAATAGCCGCGTTGAAATAAGGATCGTTTTGGGTAATTTTATGAATTTTTGTTGTTTATTTGCTTGCTTGATGTTATGGGTTTTTTCACGTATTTTTTCTGTAAGTTTTGACCTTTTGCTTCTTATGTAAGTTTTACGTTTTTATAGGAAAATATACAACTCATAATAATTAGACTCTTATTCAGAATTTTAGTATACATATTTAGTGTATAATTCAGAGCTAGTTTATATTTAGAGTTCGTTGGATACGAACTATTTACCTTGTAAGTGAATATGCATAAACAAAAATAAATACTTTTAAAAATAAATTTAAACAACCTAACAAAGCTTGTCCGGGGGATTTAATTTTGTCGCAATGCGACATATCTCTAAGGATGACATTTGTGTTGATAAGGTTCTTCGGGGTATATTTGTAAAATTGAAGTATTAACATGTATATATTTATATCTTTTGGAAAAGAAGAGGGTTAAAAAAATGTTTTCCTTCTAAATCTAAAAAAAGTATATCGTTGAAAAGGTCGTTGATTAATAAAAAATCTGGTACCTGTAATAATTGAGTAAATAGGTTTATTTTTTTAATTTTTGATTAACGGTGAAAAAAAATTGTTTGCTGTGAGAAAAAAAAACCTCGCCTACTAAGGATAATTGGTTGGTGTTTAAACAAAATCTAAATAATATTTCGTTAAAAAGCAGGTCATTTGAAAACTAGGGATTTTCTGGAAGCCATCAAACAGTTTAGTTTGGAGTTCATTTCGCTAATCTAGTATGCATTATTGTTTAGGGGCCAGCTTAAGCCCGACTCCGGGTGCGGGATTATCTCGCTTGGTTGAAGACCCATTGGTGGCATTGGGCCGTTTTCTGCTCTTTTGTCGGGTTGTTGTCTCTTTGACACACTCCCCGTTTCCTTTCTCTAACTACAGAGAACAAAAATAACTTCTATCATTTACAAACATACATGAACATATGATGAAAGTTCGTAACTTGTTTAATGATAATGACGATTCATCTTTCACAGTCGTTATGGTTCTCTAAACCTAGTGCAGAACTCCATCTCGAAACTAATGAAACCAAAAGAAGCAAGCCAATTTTAATTTTGCTTACATCTTCACTGTTGTCGATAAAAAATGCTTAAACTTATAAGCATCATGATCTTCTTTTCAAAAGTTGAAGGAAGTGTCCTGCTTGCTTTTCCCTTTCGTCTGATCTGTTCATATTTTAGTAGCCGATACAAATGACGCATCTTTCAAATCGATTGAATGATCGACTGTTTTTTTTGTTGCTTGCTTTAACGTCCAGTGGAAAATATTTCAGAAATATTCAGGACGAGAACAAATTAACAATGAATATAAAAGGCAAGTTCTACAAAGTGGGTCAATTGATTGGAATGTCGACAATTTCGAATGCCAGAGACAAATTAGGGCACGATGGATAGGGACAGAAATTTAGTCTTGCAACTGACAACCTACGAACCCCTGAAATAGTTCTTGAATGGGTTCTTTAATATGAAATGAGCAAGACACTATCTCTACACGAGGTATCTGATATAACGCCCCTATTCTGATCGGACATAGCTTGGTATTTATACATCGAACATAGTCAAACAGATGCCCATCTTTAGCATAGTTTAACTGCTGTCGGATTAGAGTGAAGGAATGCCCATATTACTTTAGCCGGGTCTACCCTTGTTTACAGCATCTATTATACGTTATGTTTGTACTTAAATGTGATATCCAATTAAAAAAAAACACAAACATCTACAGATACCTGGTGCACGAACAAAACTGGATATCATTGCTAAAAGACTGAGAAAGCCAAAAAATATTAATGTAACATTTTATTTTTACCTGTTACACCAATTAGGACTGATTCATTGCTACTTTTATTAATTATCCTTATCAATAATATGAATATAATCCAATTCTAAAAATTTGACTGTAGTCGTGCAACTTTTTGAGTTTCGTAGTTCGGAACAGTCTTACACGGATTCTACTTATAAATTTCAAAATTTGTTTTTAGCTATATGCATACTTTTAATAACACTTCGTACGAACACGAATTCAATGAAATTTTCATGAAACACACAATACTCCACCATTTACATGAACAGAAATCTAACATCAGAGTTTCAATTAAACTTCATTGTTTTGAACAAGTAAATGAAGCTTGTATATTTTCCCCCTTTTCTGTTGTGTTTGTGATCAGTTCCGATCTGATAGTTCAATATAGATAAGAAGATGTGGTATGAGTGCCAATGAGATAACTCTCCATCCAAGTCACAATGTATAAAAAGTAAACAATTATAGGTCAAAGTACGGCCTTCAACACGGAGCCTTGGCTCACACCGAACAGCAAGCTATTAAGGGCTCAAAAATGACTAGTGTAAAACAATTCAAACAGGAAAACTAACGGTCTAATCTATATAAAAAACAAGAAACCAGAAACAAGCCCATTTGAGCTGAGTTTTTACAGTTTTGTCCTTATGTTGTGCTGTTAAACTAATGCCTATGATAAGGAAGGGTTGAGTGTTCACAAAAGCTATCACCGCCACATTCTTTATGTCGCTGTCCCAAGCCAGGATCCTGTAGTTCATTGGTTGTCGTTAGCTGATGCCTGTCATAATTTGTTTAGGTTAACAGCAGGCCGTCAGTTTTCTCCGTAATGCGTTGAATTGTTTCACATTTTGTTATCCTGGGATTTTTATAGCTTACTATAGGTATGAATTCTGCTCGGTATGAAGTCTGTATGGTAATTTGTAGTGGATTTAATCTATGTCCTTTTGTCTATTGGTGGATAGGTATCCCATTGTATAGTACGACTGCATCTGTTTATTTATATTGATATATATATACAAAATAGATAGACCTTGCTGATATTAAACGGGTCTGTTATCAAGCAATACGAAATTTTCTGATATACAAATGATACTACTATTATCGGGTGTATTTAAGTACTTACGTTAAATTTTTTAAATCTGTCTAAAAGGAAGGCGTTTCAGATGAAAATTACCACCAGAACACGACTCGTGAACACTTGAGTATGAACAAAAGTATCATACTTTATATTTGCAATACGTTTTTACTCTGTAGTTTCCCTAAAAACCCATATTTTATTAACTATTCATAAAACAGCATATCATAAAAGTATATTTTATGATCATTTTTTTTTATTCATTTCGGGTTTACAATTCACCTAGGTTTAAATTGTATGACGTTACCTTACCTTTTCAATAACTGAACGAGATAAATTATGCTTTGAGTGTTAAATTTCCATAAGCACACCTCCTACAATTTACACACTTTAACAGTTAAAAGAGAGTTTGATAAAGGTTCAAACATTGAAGCACGTCACTGAAGTAAGGACAAGGATTTAACTCTCACAAAAATGGTATGATTACTTTAGATTTTTTATCTGGACTCAACTGTTTGATTTTTTTTTTCTACTTCACTTAAATATTTAGTACATTTCATATATTAACTGGATATCTAACGTCATTTGAACTTTGGTGGACAGTTGCCTAAATTATTTATATTTACTTTAGATAATGATGTGTTAACGTACGATTAAAGACATATGTTTATATATATGAGTTTATAAGCAGCTAATGGAGTACAAAGAAAGATGTTATGAGTTTTTAAGGATCTTTAAACAAAATTTATTGAGGTTAACTTTACTAGTATATATATTTTGACATATGCCCTTCATTCGTTTAACTTAAATATAAAGTCTTACCAATGGCTAAATAGTATATTGAGGTATATCGCCCCCCTTCTCGGTAATGTTTCAATATTTTCTTTTACGCTTTTAATTGTTTGTTCAAATTATCTTTCTCGGAATTATGAGGGGATTTTTATTCTTCAAATTCAATCGTTTGAAAACATAACTGAATACAAAATGTTCAAATGAAAACAAATACTTTATGAGAACTACTGATCTATTGATTATAATATACTTCCGCATTCATACTATGCATAACAAAGGGCATGCGAAACGGTTATTGTTTTAGTGGACGGGGGGTATGGAATAGTCAATTGTCGAGAAAAAGGTGGAATATACCAAGAAAACAATCAAACCTATAGGTCGAAGAGAGACAGAAAAAAACTATGTTCAAACGAAAAAATACAAACAGGCGAATAACAGAAAACTAATGATTGATCAATACGAAACCTTCCAAACCCGGGGCTTAGTTCATATGCTCCAGAATGGTCAGCAGTTTTTTTTTTCTCTACTAGTGACACCTATCGTGTTACTCCTGTTAAAATACGTTGATGAAACATATCTGGTAATAAGGCATCACGTTGAAGTGAATTAATAAATATCTCTTGGTAATACATAGATGAGAGGATGATAGAGCAGATTGTTACCCCGAGAAAACATTTTCAACTGAGGCGAAGCCGAGGTTGACAATTTTCTTTCGAGGGGTAACAATGTGCTCTATCACCCTCTCAGATATGTGTTAATTAATTTATTATACAGAATGTTCTATCATCATTGTCTTTTACAGTTAAGTTTTAAATTGAAAGTACTTAACTATGACGTCGCATACATTGTATAACAACGTTACAGTTATAAGAAAAACAACATAAGTGAAGCACAATGTCTTTTCAATTTTGACAGTCTATGAAAAAGTTCTGAGGCCAAAACATAGAATTTTATTTATCGATTTTAATTCAATTCATCGTCCTTTAAAATATCGACTTTTGATTGGTCTGCACGAGAGGGAAACATTAAAAAAAAGTCTCCCGCTGAGCCATGGGATAGAGTAAATTATCTCCCTCGTATTAGCCAATCAAAATCTTGCATTTTAACGTGAATTATGATAATATACATTGTATACATTGAATTATATCACCGCGATGTAATATTTTTGTGCACAGGCGGCGTAAAGCAGACATAAATCAATCAATAAATCAATCAATCAATCAATCAATTATATATTTCCGATATGATGTTAAATTATGATTTATACATCAAGAATAATTTCGATTAACATTTTAATGAAGCATAGAACCTTGACTTCAGTCTGTCCGCCAGAAATACATGATTTCCCTATCATAACTTGATTTGTCCTTACTTGATTGGAACTTATGCAGAGGGAAAGTATAGGGAAGGAGTAGAAGCCTACTTTGACTTTTGGGTCAATTGGCCAAAGTCTAAGGTCCGCGGGTATTGAAAATAGGTTATTTTAAATGGCTTTCTGATGATACGTTGAGTTTCCTTTGTTGGTTTGAAATTAAACTTACATATATGAAAGATAAAGGAAAAGGGAAGAACCCTATTGACTAATCGGTATATGGTCAAGGTCAGTAGTTTACAGGTCAATGTAACAATTGATTAAAATAGACATGGATAGAAATATCCAGAATATAGTTTTTTTTTAAATTGTCAGCAAAATAATTATCTGGCATGTTTTTAGCATCCGACAGACCATGATACACGACACTAATGTTTGCTCCTCTCGATTAATATGCGGTTTTGGGAGCATCTAGTGACAGTGTCTACTTCTGTACTTGTCTTTTCATGGTATAATTTCAAAGGCAATTTTTTAAATCTACAGTTTTTTTCGTTTTGAACTTCTAAATGTGTACTCCATTTTTTTTAGATAATGATGATGCCCTTTTTTATATATCATAAATCCAATAAATGCATATTGAAAGACAAACAATAGGTAGATTTTCAAATTGAAAAAATAAACTGTTAAAATATATGATAAAAGATTGACAGGGATTTAATAGAAAGTTTAATATTTTGCTCCGTTGATCTGATAAATTAGATATGAAGTCGATATTGTAATTTATGTGAGGAAGGTTTATCTTTTCAAATTTAAACATTGAAATACAATTTTATACATGTTTGTACTTGTCACAACTTGAAGTTTATATATATTATGTTCCTCACTTGGTCAATATAAAGAAAACGAGTGATTATATAATAGGACTACTTGTATATCTTTATAAACAACTTTAGTGACAATTTTGTGATACTAGTATTAAAAATAAATTATTTCGTTGTAATGTTTTGCCATTTACTACATACCCAAAAAAAGATGTGATATGATTGACAAAGAGACAACTCTCCACCAGGGACCAAAAGACATAGAGTTTGCAACTTAAGGTCACCTTAAGGCATTCAATAATGAAAAACCCACAACGTATACCAAGCTATAAAAGGCCCCGAAATGGCAAATTAAAACACCTTAAACGAGAAAACTAGTCCACGGAATACAATAATTCATACAGTCATTTTATATATATGTAGTATTGTTTCAAAATCTTTGAAATGCAACGTGAATTTATTTACCAAACGCTAAGCGTCCTAAAAAACTGTTATGCAATCCTGTTCACATTCTCGTTGTTCTACATTCAGTTGATTTCAGGATTGAACAAGATAAATTGTTTTTAATGTTTGAATCAAATCCGTTTATAAGTGTATTAACTGATAATATTTTAAATGAAACGTGCTTCATACATCAGTTTGATTTCAACTTTTGAACAAGCTTTCGACAACGAGTGCTTTTAGCGCATTGGCTCTTCTTATACAAATGTATTTGGTTAAAATGTGGTTGTTTATGTTCTAGAATATCTACATTTTAGATTATAAGTTAATTTCATTTTGCATGACTGTTAACAGTTTATTGCACCGTATTGGTGTAAAGCAATCCTCACACGTTATATTCTGGTTTTGATATTTTTAACGTTAGAGGTACATGTTTGTTGCATTTTCACATTTGGCTTATGAGATTTAACGATTGGTTTAGATCTAACCTTACTTGAAGGCACACAGTGGTACATGTTTATAAATTGGTATATATTCACTCTCATATGTTGTGCTACATACAATTATTGCTATTTTTATAAAGTCGTGTCAAACCCTTCGCAAGACAAAATACACTCATACCGCACAACAATGTCAATGCGGTGGTTGTTTCAGGTTATTTTTTAATGACTGCTTTAATATGAATGCATCTTTTTTTTAAACCAGGATAGGCTATGAAAAATAAATAATTACCATGTCCTACAAATAATCTAATTATATCACATGTATTTGTAGGCTGACCAACTGACAGAAGAACAAATTGCAGGTATGAAAATTCATTTCTATATAATATTAGAAATTCAACATCTACAGTCTCGTCATTAAGGCCTGGATAAAGTTCCATGTTTATAAACAATACTGATAATTATTATATGTAAATTACAATCGACCATTTAATTGATGCTTACTGTGCGATCCTGGTGATCGTATTTTGTTCTTCAACTCATTTTTTTCAAAGCTTTCTTTTAGACGAGAAGGGAAAAAATCTAGAAATATTATTTTATATCACTTAAGTCTTTTAACTCAGTTATCATTTTCTAGATAATACAAGAATGTCTGCTTAATTTCTCGATTTTGTCTTTAAACTTAATTAAATGATCATGGACAACTGAAAACTAGGATGCTTTAAGAACGCAATGATTTGATTTTTCCACTTGGCAGCTTCCTATTTTTGAGAAGTAATATCCCAAACATGGTTCACATATCTCAGGTGAAACAATACTAAATACTTGATTTCATTTTGATGATTTCACAAACAGAGTTATACACTTAACTCAAAAACTGCTCCTCTGGATAAGATGAAGAATAACTAAAATATCATTTTACAAGTTTTTCGGTAACCAAGCAATTTCTGTGACATTTACTCTTCATTATAGCATGTAGTTCAGTGGTTGTCGTTGGTTCATACCTGTCACATTTGTTTTTCGTAAATTGTTTTGTTACAAATTAGGCTGTTAGTTTTCTCAATTGAATTGTTTCATATTTTTCATGTCGGGGCTTTTTATAGTCGACTATACGGTATGGGTTTTTCTTATTGTTGAAGGCCGTACGGTTGCCTATAATTGCTTACATCCACTTCATTTGAACTTGGGTGGATAGTTGTCTTATTGCCTATCATACCACATCTCCTTATTCTAATATGAATGTAAAATACATTTAGGAAAAGTACACAAACAAATAAGAAATTTTGTTTATAATCCTACCTAACATTTTGAAATTGTAGGTGTTTACGCTAAACTGTAAATAGTGCCTTAACTTGAAATGTGCAAATAGATTCGAGAACTATAGATACATATGTAAATGGTCAATCTGTTCTTTTGTTTAATTTTGTTAGTGTTATGAATGTGTGGTTACATGTAAATTGGTTTTTCCTTTTCCTTCAACAAATATTATAAATTTCGTTGTGTGAATATGAACAAACATCCTTTTTTCCCCGGTTTGATGTAAACTTTGTATAACCTCACCAATGCGTTTCTCTCTTTATTGATATTTCTGATGCATGCATGTACCTTTTAATTAACAGAATTCAAAGAGGCTTTCAGTCTTTTCGATAAAGATGGTGACGGTACTATTACCACAAAAGAACTGGGAACTGTCATGAGATCTCTGGGACAAAATCCTACTGAGGCTGAACTACAGGACATGATTAATGAAGTGGACGCCGATGGTAAGTAGTTCTACCACGCACAAACCTGATAATACAGGTTTCTTACCCGACACAGTGAGTTCCTTGGCACCCGTTGTGTTGTCTGTATGTCTTTCTTTTACATATTGTTTTTGTTTGCCTCCTTTGGTATCTTCTTAATTTTTGTATATATATTTATAGAAGCGACATATGACCTTCACCATGCCAAATTTCAACCTTGCAATTTATGAAAAAATCTTATTTATTTTTTCATATATTTTTTTAAGGGGAGGGGGAGGGGCATTAGGCCTATATGCATTTAATTATCCGATAAAATTCGTTCTGCAAACTACCTTACTATTCCTTGGATTTTTCTGTACAACGGATAATTGCTATGACGTGTTATCTTTAGTTTTTTCGATTTAACATGTTTGTGCAGTATAAAGAAAGTTTTTATCTTATTTAAAATTTATCAGTCATTCGTGGTTTACACTGTTCATGCATATCTATGTTATTCTTGCACAAGGTCTTCAGATGTGAATACCTTTCACATTGCGTTACAACCAAAGAAGAAGAAGAAAACAAAACTTCTTCCGTTTTTTGCTTCGGATCACGGTGCGAAGTTATTGGTTTCATACGATATTGACGCCATCTTGAAATATTACGTAACAGATATCGGTGCTCGTTTGTTGTCTAATGATGTGGGAAGTACCCGACAAATGAATAATTGTGTCTTTCCTTGACTACTTTGCTTTATAATGTCGCGTCAACTTCATGTTGATAAATAAATGGAGGGACTTAGACAAAAACGTTTCTGAGTGCTCATCCGACTATATATGCATGTACACCAACACTAAAAATACATATTACTGCCAATGATCTTCCAGAATTTTGTCCGAGTACATGTATTCCATGTTATATAACCAAATGATAAACCGAAACCACAGGTACATGTACCCCGAATTGTGCATCAGAATTATTTTGAGAATGATTTGGAACTTTTAGGAGGCATTTGATAACAAGTTAGTAAAATGACAGTGTTGGAAAACATGTATGAGGATATCAAAATGCAAATAGATATATTGCGTCAAAAATGACCAAGACGGGCTTAAAATACTAAACGTATGAGTATATGCACAAAGGAGGTAAATAATTCCTTTCCCATACTTAAACAACCACATCTTACTTAAAAGTATGATTCAGCACGGCACTCCAAAGCTTTTTAGAAAGCTAACACTTGTTTTTAATTTTGTTTCAAGGTAATGGAACGATAGATTTCCCAGAATTTCTAACTATGATGGCCCGAAAAATGAAGGATAGTGACTCTGAAGAAGAAATCAGAGAAGCATTCAGAGTTTTTGATAAGGACGGCAATGGTTTTATAAGTGCAGCTGAACTTCGCCACGTGATGACAAATCTTGGTGAAAAATTAACAGATGAAGAAGTAGATGAGATGATAAGAGAGGCTGACATGGACGGTGATGGACAAGTAAATTATGACGGTACGTTTTATTTTTCAATGTAGGTGTCTGTTTACGATATAGATGTTTTAAAAGCTGCCTAGTCTAAAAACAAAATATGTATTTTCATGATATTTGATGATGCACTTATTCATTATTTTCCCAGTTAAAGCGGTTATCTACATGTTATCAACACCTATATCACATTAACTAAATCAGACAAATGATGTCATGACAACAGCAACAACAACAAAAAACACAATGAAAAATAGGTCATTTTCACATCTTCTTTTTCGATAAAAGTCATGATTAATTCAATTTTGTGTCGTGATTCAACAATTTGCAATCTTTATATTCTCCGAAAATATTATCATGTTACCTAATTGCAATATATTTGTACTAAAAAGTTCGCAGGCAGTCCATGTGCTCATTTAAATTATTCATTGGATCAATAAATGTGTACTATTCATGGAAAAGAAACGTGTTTATCATTGAACCATGTTATATAACTATATAACTATAATACCTTGATGACCTATTCTCTAGTAGTAGTTGACACGATAGTGTCCGCCACAGTGGCTTTTATAGACGCATGGTAAAAATAGATAAATTTAATTCCTCATGTCTCTTCTTTGAAATGCAATAAAAGATTGCATGTAGCTTGTTATTGTACAAACAAAATTGACACCGTCAAAGGGTTTAACTAGATAAAAAATTTTGCTATATGTATTTCATTCAGCAGCAGCATTATTTGACACCGTTAAAGGGTTTAACAAGATAAAACAGTTTGCTATATGTATATCATTCAACAACAGCATTATTTGACACCGTCAAAGGATTTAACGAGATAAAACAGTTTGCTATATGTATATCATTCAACAACAGCATTATTTGACACCGTCAAAGGGTTTAACGAGATAAACCGTTTGCTATATGTATAACATTCAACAACAGCATTATTTGACACCGTCAAAGGGTTTAACAAGATAAAACAGTTTGCTATATGTATATCATTTAACAACAGCATTATTTGACACCGTCAAAGGGTTTAACAAGATAAAACAGTTTGCTATATGTATATCATTTAACAACAGCATTATTTGACACCGTCAGAGGGTTTAACGAGATAAAACAGTTTGCTATATGTATATCATTCAATAACAGCATTATTTGACACCGTCAAAGGGTTTAACGAGATAAAACAGTTTACTATATGTATATCATTCAATAACAGCATTATTTGACACCGTCAAAGGGTTTAACGAGATAAACCGTTTGCTATATGTATAACATTATTTGACACCGTCAAAGGGTTTAACGAGATAAAACAGTTTGCTATATGTATATCATTCAACAAGTGTCAACAGCATTATTTGACGCCGTCAAAGGGTTTAACAAGACAAAAAAAGTTTGCTTTATGTATATCATTCAACAGCAACATTATTTGACACCGTCAAAGGGTTTAACAAGATAAAAAAAGTTTGCTATATGTATATCATTCAACAGCAACATTATTTAACATCGTTAAAGGGTTCAACAAGATAAAAAAGTTTGCTATATTTACATGTATATCGTTTAACAACAGCATAATTTAGCAATATAAATTATCAATTATAATAAATATGAACAGATAACCAAAAGTAATTTTTTGAGCCAAAATGAATGTAATTATCATTTCAACTGTCACATACGTCATTTTAACAGTAGTTCCAATTGTGTTGAGTCCTATTTCATAATAATCGTCATGACAACCAAAATTTGTATGCAAGTGTAAACCAATTTCATGATGTCGAGATTATACATTCCTACACAAGCGAAATAGTTTTGTAGGTGTTAATCTGGACATATGATTTAGTTCATTTTTCCTGGAATTATAGAGAAATAAAAGCTATTTTTAAGGAGTTGATGGTCTGTAACCTAGGCCTTTCACTTATATAAAGTAATGAGTGGCCCTAGTTGACGCATAAAACATAAACTCCTTTAAAACACACCCCATGCAAATTTAATTAGTATCTGTATACTAAAGTATACTTTCTTCATATTTAACTAGAAAAAAAATGTTGTTTTTTTAAACACGAATTCACACTCCACATAGTATTGTTCATGTATAAGGTATAAACAAAGTTAAATATTATTTCACAGTAAAAGGATGCAGTGTATAATAACAGAAAATAGCCTTTCACTATGCTTTGAATATGCAATTTTTTTATTTTGTTAAAATATATGCATTATGTTTCAAAACAATAACAGACAATCAAAAGAAATTTTTCAGCCAAAATGAATGTTATTATTTCAGATGATGTATATTATGTATGTATTGTGAAATGCTATATTCTATTCCCTTTTTTGCAGAATTTGTGAAAATGATGACGTCGAAATGAGGGAGATTAGCCATGATGAGACACAAAAACAATAAACAAAATTTAAATAATATATTTATAGAATAAAACAGCATGTGTTCAAAGTTTGTAATTTGAGCGATTTTGATATTCCTATCAATTCTAATTCTTCAATAGTCTCTTAAAGAAATATTTACTTAAACAAATTGAATGTAATATAATGTAAACACCACAACAAAACATCATATAGAAGTACCATCAAGAAGACGAATGTTATTAGCAAATATTTTATTTTGATTTTCATGTTAAGGTGACATACATGCCTACTATACTTTGTAACATATACTGTTTAGACGATTGATTATTGTTGGTGTTTAACGCCACTTTAACGCCACGTTAGACTGTTAGGCTCCACTGGCTTCTATTGTGTGAATACAGATTAACAAAAAATGCCAAATAGTAGAAATATGCACATAACATTCATATGAATTGCAAATGTGGTTGCATGGTAGTTGCGCAAAACCAAAATAATACTAGTACCTTATTCTGTTTAGAAGTTGCGAGGCGACACTTCACGTTTCATTAAATTTTGTAGACTTTTCATATTTCAATGATTACTCAATACACCGTTCGATGCTTGCTATTTGGTAGATGTTTTCAGTACATGTATGTTTGGCTACTTTTTGCAAGTTACGCATAAAAACGCAACCAATGACTTTGTGAAAAGTAACTAAGAGACAAATTAAACCATAATTAATTGATGTTTGACATCGACTGAAATGAGTTGCACATGCATTACATAACTTGGTCTTAACATTTTTTTGTGTGTGCATATTTCGGTCTTGACAGTATTGGCAGATCTGTTTTTGGACCCTTTTAGAAATGTGCATTATTACGGTGTATATGTTTGGTTTTCTAAGCATTTTGTCTCGTACGTTCCTGATAAGAATTATTTAACAACACTTGTTGGGTTTTTTAAGTCATACGACACGTTTTACAGCACATTCAAGATAACCCTAAGCGTCGACTGTAGCTAAACTCTGATATGTCTGCATAACAGTTTCAAATGTATTAAATAAAAACACCTTCGGAAACAATCACTAAATGTAATATAAAACTAGAACACACCCGCGACATCGCTGGACCGTGACTGAATTAAAGTACCTTATTTTTAGCCTGGATTTTTAGTATTCATATTGTCAACTGATAAAGTCATGCTGACAGTTTTCTCGGCTTTCAAAATCTTTCTGCTTGAACCCGTCCTGGTTTTCTTACTACTGTTTTTGTGGAAAGTTAACTTTCTGGTAGTAAGACCCGTCTCGGCCAGGCTTGGAAACTGGGTAGGCAAATGCTCACATTAAATATGTACCGATAACGTGTGTTAAATGTCCATCTTTACACCATAACCCATGGTGGTGCTCATATTTAAGGAGGGAGAGAACACACATACATACAACCGGAAACTGCATGTGCCATATACTATTGGTATCGATATCGATATAAATAGTCCAGACAAAAGGTAAAACAATTCAAACGAGTCCAACGGCACGATTTACATACAAAACAACCAATGAAAAACAAATATGGTATACAGCAACAAAAGACAACCACTGAACTTCAAGCTCCTGACTTGGAACAGGCACATACAAAATATGGCGGGTTAAAATGTTTGCATGCAACCAACCATCACCTCACTTGGGACAGTACTTTAACATCACAACATAAGAACGAACTATACAAATCATTTGAAGAAGATTTAAATAATCACATCGATACAAAGCACAAAAACATTTAACAAAAACAAAATAGACACAAAGTACCGATCTAAGAGTACTCGCAGTTACTGCACATCAGTTCAAAGTCACTAACAACTAATAAACAAATCATTTATTCAAGACAAAATATCAATCAGTGCACATCCAATGGGTTTAGTGTGAAGTCTTCATAAACAGGTTAGGAAAACATGACCTTGCACAATGCCAAAAATAAATATCGACAGGATGTAGAACCGTATGTTAATAACTGTATAACAATACATATTTAGTTATGTTTTAATACATTGTTATCAAAGTCTATGTAAGTATCGATAAAACAATATGCAAACATCTTATTACAGTATTAAATTGATGAGTTTAACAATAAGTTTATACATTGAATCGATAAGCTTACATGGATAGTATCTAAATTGATGGGCCCAAAAAACAACATCACCATAAAATTACAATTGAACAGAATACTACTGAACTCATCAGAATGTGATTATTTGCAGTGTTGATTTTTCTATGATCGTATGTAGAATTTGCTTAGTACTCACTTGTTGATATAAGCTAAAGTTAAGGTTTTCTTTATATACAAACAATATATAAACATCTTATTACAGTATTAAATTGACAAGTTTTAGAATATGTTCATATACATAGAATCGATAAGCTTACATGGATAGTATCTAAATTCTAAATTGATGGGCCCAAAAAAAAAAACACATCACCGTAAAAATTACAATTGAACGGAATACTACTGAACTCATCAGAATGTGATTATTTGCAGCGTTGATTTTTCTATGATCGTATGTAGAATTTGCTTATCACTCACTTGTTGATATAAGCTACAGTTAAGGTTGTCGTTTTCTTTATGCTGCAACCAGCCACGTTCTATTGGTTATTCCTAATTTACTGAATCTAACAAAAACTTGAAATCAATGATATAATTATTCTTCAAATTCTAATTTCGTCTTAAAGATCTTATAGTTTCTTGCCTATCCGGAGGTTTCAATATCAGTGTAAACAGAAATAACTGTCCTTTCTTAGATTTAGATATTTTGGTTTCACAAGTGAAACCTTATACCAAAATTTACCAAAAAACCCGATTTTTCGTTCCCTACTGTTATTTTTCCTTTTTTACGGAGATGTTCCTTTGGGCCCATCTAACAGAGTTTATATATCCCAACTCGTTCATTTTGTCCGTATCTGTAGTGACGTTATAAATTTTAATGAACGGAATCTATGTATCACGGTTAAATCATTAAGTCAGGGATTTCGTTACCACAAAATAATTATTACTATTACTCCTTTTTTTTTATAAATACAACGATTTAGTTTGAAAGTTTGATTGTACCTGTAGAAAACTTATTACTGATGGGATATCACATTCTAAACTGCCGTAGTTCTTCATAAAATCTTACCACTCCTTTTATCGTTCAACTAGAAAAAGATGGAAACTGATATTTACGCATGAAACTGTAAAGTGTTATTTAATGTTTTCACGTGCATTATTTAACATCATCGGTATTCATCTGTGTTGAAAATTACAATCTTAATATTAAATGTTAAAAAATCTATCTTTAATATATTATAATTGTTCTCGCCAAAAGTAGGAAAAACATTTTTTTTGGTTGAAGCTCAGTCCATCTTTTCCCAAATACCTTTATAAAATGGTTGTCCAAACTTGAAGTTTAATGTAATTTATTCGATTTAAATTGTCTTCTGTTATATACAAATTTTATTCTAAATGATCATTGCTTATGAATGTAATTTCATGGCTGATTTAATATACTCAAATTCTTTTGTGAATAATTAAAAGAACTTGTGTAAATAAAAACTGGCTCAAGTAATTTACCCAAACAACGACTTTTGGTTTTAAAATACACATAATTTGAATTTAGGTCGTTATCATCAGACGATTTCAAAATGGTAGGTGATTTCTCGATTTATTTATCAAGATATTGATCGTATCAAGAAGAGACAAGTATTTTATGTTGATCTTATTCTATTCTTTTTTTTTTAAAATTAGTCATTATTACTGATTTTAATAAATATTAAAGTTGTCTAGTAATATAAGAGTGAATGTGTTTATTCATGTTCAGTATGACGACAGGGGTTTTCATATTTATAACTCATTGTGCTACCTATTACACCGTTATTTTTGAATAAGAGCTTTTCTTGTACCGAATTGTATTGGTATGTGGTTTATGTACCATTGATCGAGATTAAAAAGGGGTGTAGAGGATATAAAACAAATACTTTAACATATTCACATGTTCAACTGTATGTGCTTTTCCGAAGTTACGAGCTCTAGCTGTCAGTTGTTTTATTTTATCTATCTGAACGTTTTTGTCTTTATTGCTATGTGTGTTGATGCTTGATCTTTGTTAGTAATAGTTTTTATTCCCAACCTTTTCCATTGTACGACACGTAGTGATGTAGAGCTTGGCATATTGTATTGACATCTGTGTATTGACTACATATATTGACCTGTAGAATTCTAATTTAAAAAATTGACCTGGATGTAGACTTCAGGCTAGGTATGTCGCCAGAGATTCATGTTCCTGTTCCTAGTCAATACTTTCGTCCATTGTTGTCTAAAGCCATATCTTAATGTTTTCAGTTATTTGGAGAATTGGGTGTTGATGACAGTCCTTTTATAGATTCTGTTTCATTTTCTCACATTTTTTTCGACTCGGGAAAATTTAGAGTTGGATATATGTATATAGACACCTCTCTATTTTTTACTATATGACCCCTAGATGTCTTTTAGTTATTTGTGTTGTTGGGTTGCTGTCTCGTTGTTGTATATCTAACATCACATTTTCCATAGGTAGTATTATGTATTATGTATACTGTATTCGCCTTAAACTCAATACGCCTAATGGATCTACGATAAGTTTTCTATGTAAAACTATTTGGATATTGTTTTAACAAGTATCTAAAAGGTTTTTCTAGGTCATCGTCCATAATTACTTTCGTCCAGGTATCATAATGACAGAATATATAGATTGTAAATTAAATACCTTGTATGTTAAATTTTACTTCATATACCATAAATTTAAATGTACAGTTTTAGTCTTGTGTTTGTCCCTTTTCATTGCCTCTTTTGTATATTATGTTATACATGTAATACTATGAATAAGTATGTCCTTACTGATAAAACCTTGAACAACAAATCAATGCAAAAATGTCAATAATATATTGTATACTATGGATTGTAAGATTCTTATTTGTCATTTTTAATAGCTATCAGATTACAAAGTTATTTGAGGAACTAAAAAATAACAAAAATTATGAATAGTGTTGAAAAGGATTTTGTGTTTTTTAAAGTTGTTAGTTGTCTCATATCGGTGAAATAATGCAGGTGAAAGAATAAAGGTAAAACCCCTTGTGAGAACCAATTACAAAAATAAAATTAAATAGAAATATAAATCAATTGTTTTAAAAACAATTGTTAAACGGTCTTTCCCCTCCGAAACATGATTAATTGTTTTTTTGGTTGGTTGGTTGGTTGGTCGATTGATTGATTGATTGATTGATTGATTGATTGATTGATTGCATGGCACTTTCTCGGTGCGACGCAGCTAACTAAAAAT